GCGATGACAAATCTAGACAGCATCTTAAAAAACAGAGACATCACCTTGCCAACAAAGGTCCGTATAGTTAAAGCCATGGTTTTCCCAGTAGTGATGTATGGAAGTGAAAGCTGGACTATAAAGAAGGCTGATCACCGAAGAATTGATGCTTTTGAATTATGGTGCTGGAGGAGACTCTTGAGAGTCCCATGGACTTCAAGAAGATCAAACCTATCCATTCTGAAGGAAATCAGCCCTGAGTGCTCACTGGAAGGACAGATTGTGAAGCTGAGGCTCCAATACTTTGGCCACCTCATGAGAAGAGAAGACTCCCTGGAAAAGACCCTGATGTTGGGAAAGATTGAGGGCACAAGGAGAAGGGGACGACAGAGGACGAGATGGTTGGATAGCGTTCGCGAAGCTACCAGCATGAGTTTGACCAAACTGTGGGAGGCAGTGGAAGACAGAAGTGCCTGGCGTGCTCTGGTCCATGGGGTCATGAAGAGTCGGGCACGACTAAACAACTAAACAACAACAACAACACTCTCATTTTCCTACTCATATTGAAATGCTGTCACTCAATGAGGCCAAACTTAGATTCACAAAATGTTTCGGGGTATGCGTACCCCTGCATACCCCCAGAAAAAAAAGCACTGGATAATGATAACCCCCCATTGAGTCCCAGTTCTTAGAAAAAGAAAATAAATACCAGTACTATCATCACAATTTAAATAACCATGGTTGATTAAACCATGGTTATGCTGATCAGCATGCACGAAACATTATAATTTGCAGGCAGACAGCACCAGGAGAAAGTTTGACACTGGAATTCAACATACATTGCAGAAGTTCCTATTCTGCTGTGCTTCTCATGCTATTTATGACTGCACAGCAGCACAGCTTTTAAAGCCCCTGGCACAAAGATCCTATTACACATGAAGGGAGACTTTTGCTTTACTGAGGGATATGAGGAGAAGGACCCCAGTGTGAGCCATGGGGCAACAAGGGAATGAAAATTTAAGGGGACGTACAACAACTATACAAGCAGTAATACAATACAGCACAGAAGGCAATTTTCGAAGCCTGAGGTCTAGAGGTAATTTCTGGCAAGTTTATTCTTTTATATGGTATCTGATACCACCCATGGTCTCAGGATCTATGACCGGTGAATTTGACCTCAGGATATATTAGATGTATAATGTTCCCAAGCCCTGGAAATATTACCTGCCTCCTCATCTTCTGCAAGATGAGAGATGAATTTTGGTTCAGAGGGGCTTTTCACCAGCTCCCTCCTTCCCCCTGCACATAATAGCCTCCCCTAAGGCCACAATTCCTTACTCCTTTTGGCAAAGAATATAGTGGTATAATCTCTGATCCACTAGGAAGCTGTATATATTTCTATGGGCTGAAAACCCCAACCCAAGAGCCTTGATTCAACAGTGTTCAGTCCTTCCAATTACCACTCCAGGGAAGTAATTTCAGGATCCAGTCCTCCATGCTCTTAGCAGATAGCTAGTGGTATTCAACACAACCTGAGGTCCAAACTACACATCATGTGAAATGTTTAGCCTGCAGTGACATTTTCTGTTTTTCTTTGATTACTAGTGCAATATGTATGATGCGGGTGGCGCTGTGGGTTAAACCACACAGCCTAGGGCTTGCCGATCAGAAAGTCGGTGGTTTGAATCCCCGCGACGGGGTGAGCTCAGTCCCTGCTCCTACCAACCTAGCAGTTCGAAAGCACGAAGTGCAAGTAGATAAATAGGCACCACTTCGGCGGGAAGGTACCGGTAAACAGCGTTTCCGTGCGCTGCTATGGTTCACCAGAAGCGGCTTAGTCATGCTGGCCACATGACCCAGAAGCTGTACGCCGGCTCCCTCGGCCAATAAAGCGAGATGAGCACTGCAACCCCAGAGTCGTCCATGACTCGACCTAAAGGTCAGGGGTCCCTTTACCTTTACCTATGTGTGATTGTTATCGGGAGTTTTCCCACAGCCATACTTGGAGATGCTAGGATTTGAACCTGGAGCCTTCTGCATTACAACAGTTCCTCTATCACTGAGATAAAGCTCATTTAAAAGATTTGTAAACCACCTTTTAAGGTAACTACCCTCTGCCTCCATACTATCTATCATCTATCTATCTATCATCTATCTATCTATCTATCTATCTATCTATCTATCTATCTATCTATCTATCTATCTATCATCTATCTATCTATTTATCTATCTATCATCTATCTATCTATCTATCTATCTATCTATCTATCTATCTATCTATCATCTATCTATCTATCATCTATCTGTCTTAAAAGTCACCATGCACTCTCTCTCTCTCTCTCTCTCTCTCTCTCTCTCATATAAAATAATTAGCTGTACTATTTTCAGTGCTTTCATAAAACATTTTTGTTTTGGCAAGCCTATCTAGATACATAACTATTGATGTGTTTCAATGTCTTTTACTCTAATATTTAAATCTTTTTAATGCTTTAAATTGTTTCTCACTCTATTGATAATTTTAACATTTCTTTGTCAAGCGCTTAGAGGTTTTACTACAACCAAGCAGTATATAAATTGTGTTACATAAATGAATAGAACCAGTTAAAATAATAAACCTGATCAAGCCACCACAGTATCATTTAAAACCGGATGGCATGCTATGACCACTGAGCATGCCCAAATTTTACTTAGGCTTATTTGGGCCCCCCTTTTTTTCCAACTTTGGGTTTCTCCCAGGCCTGCTGATGCCTCCCATTTGTGTATGCATGACACCATTTTGACTATATAAGCAATAGCACTTACTGTCTGAGCATGAAAAATAGAGAGAATGATAGTGTTTTGCATTTATAGTCTGATCCAGGTCTCAGCTACATTAGTAAAGAAACAGCAATTTGAATGCACTATAGGCATGCAACACCAGATGGCGGCAGAGAGCGGGAAATTTTAAAAATTTGATTTTCCATAGGTATTTTTTCTTTTGTTATAACGATCTCATTTCTGACTTATTTATAGCATTTCCCCCTGTGTTTAGATCCACCCCTAGAGTGTACACTTTGCCTCATATGCACTGGGAGTTCACCAATCTCCCATGTGACCCACTTCTTCCTTAGTCAAGTCAGTGGATGGGCAGGTTTTTGGATACATCACTCTGTAGGCATTGTGTATTGATTTGTTTGCTCTTTTCTTTCTAGAGTGCTTACACTGTACAAAAAAATATTATAAGTCTGTACAATCTAAATAATGATAACATGCAATTTGATTTCCCCACCTCATCCATGCAGCAATCTCTTTGAAGAAACTTAACAACCTCCATGGAAACCAACTAGAAGTTGAAAACATATCTGAGTTCTTTACTTTCTGTTTTACATCCGTTAAAAGGGTCAGCAAAATGGGGATCTTCCCAGTTTAAGCATTTGAGTGGCATTAAGGAGGTTTATTACAACTGAAAATGCCAAACCCCTATAACAGCTTACTAAATGTCCCTGCTAGTAGAAAGGTCAAGGTATAAGATGTGACTAATACCACTGTCACTGAGCTCATATATTTCAATGCCATTTTTATTGTGCTTTTTCTTTGGCACATATTGGATGGAAGCCTCATGATTTTTCATCTGGTTCAAAAAAGGAGATAATGGATAGCACTCATTTGAAACCACAATACTTTCATTAAAAGCATTTCAGCACTAGATGGATCATACCTATCTGTTTCCTTTCTGTTCCTTTGTTGGTGAATTGCTTAGGGAAACCATAATAGTGACAAAGAGAAATTCACAAACAAGGTAATGTACAGAGGCTTGGGGGTAAGCTCTCTCTCTCTCTCTCTCTCTCTCTCTCTCTCTCTCTCTCTCTCTCATTCAACCTACTCTGAGCTGAGTTTCTCTGTTACTTTCTTAGTAGCCATCATTTTAAGAAAACACATTCTGTGAAGGTTCATCAGTGTGCGTTGTCTGTTTATGCTGTCCTTCGCACACAGACACAATATCTAATTTGGAGAGACTACCTACAGAATCCATTTTTACTTGGTTCACTCCATACACCTCTGAATGAAGTGGAGCCATGTGACTCTGACGACTCCATCTTATTCCATAAATATGCAAATTCAGGGTGTTGAAATTAGGGCTTTTGCCTTTCGTCCGGTGTAGATAAAACAACTCACAACACGGCAAAACTGTTTGTGGAACGGGCCACTTCAGACTGCAGCTGACTGACATTATATTGACTGTTTGCACCTTACAGTATATACACACACACACACACACACACACACACACACACACACACAGTGGTACCTCGGGTTAAGAACTTAATTCATTCTGGAGGTTCGTTCTTAACCTGAAACTGTTCTTAACCTAAGGTACCACTTTAGCTAATGGGGCCTCCCGCTGCCACTGCACAATTTCTGTTCTCATCCTGAAGCAAAGTTCTTAACCGAAGTTAGCGGAGTCTGTAACCCGAGGTACCACTGTAATCCCCCTTTAAAAGATATCTAAGATAGAGGGTATCACCAGATCTTGTGGCAGTGGATTTCGTAGGTTAACTCTGTACTGTGAGAAGAAGTCCTCCCTTTCATCTGTCCCCAATCTACCACCTATGATTATGATTCAACATGGCTCAAATTATTGCACAAAAGGCATAGTTTGGATCACAAACTGGGAAACTTGCGCACCCACAATCTGCTGTTGGCCTGGATAGCTCAGTTGGTTAGAGCGTGGTGCTGGTAACGCCAAGGTTGCAAGTTTGATCCCTGTATGGGAGAGCTGCAAAGCAGGGGATTGGGCTAGAATTCAGGCTTCCTCAATCTCGGCCCTCCAGATGTTTTGAGACTACAATTCCCATCATCCCTGACCACTGGCCCTGCTAGCTAGGGATCATGGGAGTTGTAGGCCAAAAACATCTGGAGGGCCGAGGTTAAGGAAGCCTGGGGTAGATGATCCTCAGGGTCCCTTCAAATCCCACAATTCTATTAATCTATTCTGTTACAGCTCCCATCACCTCTAACTCTTGGCCATTGGCCATGCTGGATGTTAGTCATCAGGCGGGCAACAGCAGGTTCTCCATCCCTGATTTAGAGGTTCCTCAAAGAGGCAATTTGTTATTCACATAAAAGCAATCACCACTGAAAGCTATCAATCCCTATTTTTGCAATTTATAGAGACATTAAGGGAATGCTGGGAACCAAATTGTATACCAAGTTGGAGAGGAGCCAGTGGCCAGTGGAGAGGAGGAACAAAAGCAAAACAAAACTCACTTAGGTCACCTTCCTTTTCTGTACATTTACACTCCAGCAAATCGTGGGTAAGGCAGCTAGACTCTTCATGCAGGGTGAACAGATCTCTAAGTTCTTCAACAGAAAAACGGATGTGTTCGGATCCCTTGGAAAAGTCGACAACTGCCCCAGAGAGCCCTTGCTTGCTGATCTGTCTCTGATAGATTTTCTCTTCTATTGTGCCTGCATTGAAGAAAGCAGGGACACTGGTTTTATTTCAGGAAGTGAGGTCCTGAAATAAAAGCCAACAGAAAATGCTGTATAAATCTTAAGAGCGGATACATCTAGAGATGTTTCCTGCGAACCAGACTCAAACAAGAGTTTGCAAATATCATGCGGCGGACCTGTAGTAAGCAGTCTGTAAATATGAACTGTATGTCTCTGCCCATCTCTCCAAACTCTGGCCATTGCCTAAAAGGGAAGGAGAAGGGAAATATGACTGAGCACACTATTCTGTATTATTGTGGCTGGCAAGCGCATCTCACCTTATTTAAATTTACCCGCTTCTCTAACATTTGGTTGTCAGTTCTTTTTCGGACCCAAACTATCAGGTCCCGGAATTTATAAGAAAAAACAAGTGCAACATAAACCTATATATTTTTATTTAAAAGTGGGTCCCACTGGGCAAAACTACACGTGAAGGAGAACCATAACTGGGGCTGCCAACATCTCTTCCCTGTCTTATAAACAGCTGTGGGTGCTGCAGTATTTGGACTGAGGCATGGCAGGAGGGGAGTGCAAGCCCGAACCTCCACCTGCCAATTGCGTAATAAAAATCAGCATCCTTCCCTATAGCTGCTATTAGCTACGGAGAGGAAAACACACACAGGGCTTCCACAGCTAATAGAAGCTTCTGGCATGAGGGATTATCTATCAGAGACTCAGCACAATGGTAAAGGGCTAAAACCACACTCTGCAGTGCCACTCCAAATCAGGCCTCCCTGAGGCTGTGGCAGCACCAGTCACAGAACATCTCATGTGCACTATGGCCTTAAGATGACTCCATTAAAACCAATAGAACGTGTATCATCAATTTCAAGAGCAAAGCATCCAGTGGCCACGATCAACCAGACGGAATTGTCAAAACTACACAGGCTCCTCCCCCCCCCTTTATTATGATTACAGCATCTCTATCATCCCTAACCCTTTCCCAACAAATTGAGGTAATGTACGACTCCACTGGATGAAAGCCCGTTTCCTCCATACACATCTAATTTTAAAAGTAATTTAGTATTAAAAACAGCAGCCATCTCTACACTTTTTTTACCCTGTGTGCGTCTGTGAAAATGTGCAAAACAATGGTTGAGATCCAAAGAAGAACTTCAGGTGTGCAAGGCCTTTGGCAAGCCCAGAGACTTTTTAAAAAAAACTTCTTTGAGCAACAAGCCTCCATGTCAGATCACAAATTTTCTTTTTAACCTTCCTCGGTTTCAAGATCAGTGAGCTACATGAGGAACTAGTGCTTTTTGGGGGGAGGGGGTTTATTGGGTTACTGCTTTTGGTTTGATTTTATACGTTGTGGTCTTATTGTGAACCGCCCTGAGACCTCCAGGAATAGGGCAGTGTATAAGTTGAATAAATTAATAAATAATAACAACAACAACAACAATAATAGCAGCAGCAGCAGCAGCAATAGCTTACTTCAAAGCGTGGTTCAGACAACGAATGCAAGGGGAATTATTCAGCACTTCAGATATTTTAACCATCCTGCATAAATCAGTTATGACATTTTCGTTTCTTGCAGCTGAGCTCGAAATAATGAGACCCCTATGCAACTAGCTATTCTCAAAGTAACTACCATATAACCCTCGGAAGAGAGAAGTTTGCCTATTTGAATTGGGCTTGAATTGAGCATCCTGTTTGAAATTTCCTGTGAGAAAGTAAGTTAAACTTCTGCAATGGAAAATATTAATTCCACCTGCATCCGTCTTTGGTAAGTATGCTCAGCAACCCCAGGGCATAGACTTGCATACAAAATGGTATCAATCTGAATGTTTCTTTGAACAAAAATGTGAGCCATTAAACAGCTGCTGCTAATGATGTCTGGTGTAAAAGGCTTTTCAGTCCTGGTATTAAACATTCCCAACAAACCTGAATATCCGTGGCTGGATTCCAATCGATATCGTATAAGATTAAATGGGATGCCCCAACAAGGTTCAGACCCACGCCACCAGCCTTTGAACTCAGCAGGAAGATAAAAGATGGGCAGAATTTACTATTAAAACCATCAACGATCTGCTGTCTCTGGGAGACGGGAGTGTTGCCGTCAAGCCTCGCATAGGAATATCCATGGCGTTTGCACACCTCTTGCAATATGTTCAGGGTCTGTGTGTAATTGGATACCACCACGACTCTGTCAATCCAGAATACAGTAGATCTGTTACTGGCTAATACAGTTCCTTCATGTTCACTGCATTTGAATCTACAAAACGTATATAGCGTTAGTGTGTGTACCAAGGGCAGGGTACATCAGCTGCATGCAAAAAGGCCCAGGGTTCAAATCCTTGGAATCTTTAGGTATAGAGTCGAGAAAGGCTCCTTTTAGCACAGAACAGGTCCAGGTAAGTGCCAGGCCACAAGCCACATGCGGTCTGCAGCACTTTTGGATCTGGCCTGCAGCATCCCCTCCTCAGCACTGCCCCCCCCCAAGAAAGTTTCCATTCACACAAATGAGAGATATTTTCTTAATTCCTGCCCGGGTTGCGGCAGGGTGAATTAGAGACAGGCAGCTGGGAAGGGGAGGGTAACACTCCCCTGTGGTAACTAGTTTTTTTAAAAGGTCCCATATGCTATGTGGAAGAGGTTATTTTGTGTGTGGGGGGGGTGTCATCATAGCAGCTGAGGGCTGTAGACAATATTGAGCTAGATTGGACCAATCGTCTGTCTCAGTACTAGCCTGCTTCCCAGGCTACAACTTTGCTAAAACTCAATGAATGCCAGGTAAACAGATGAACAACATTATGGAGACCTAGCATCCTTCAAAGAACACAGGGTGACAAATAGCCCATAGGGCAGAGGTTGAGCATGAGTGTTTTAGCCAGATGCCAACTGCATGGTTCTAAGAAGTGCATTGTTGTGCTTCAGGAGGGAGAGGGTTTGCCTTGTTTTTACTCCTGCCCATGCAAAATGGGCTCCATCTGGTACGCAGGCTGAGACCCTACCTGCCCGCAGACTGTCTCGCCAGAGTGGTGCATGTTCTAGTTATCTCCAGCTTGGACTACTACAACGCGCTCTATGTGGGGCTACCTTTGAAGGTGACCCAGAAACTACAACTAATCCAGAATGCGGCAGCTAGATTGGTGACTGGGGGCAGCCGCCAAGACCACAGAACACCAGTCTTGAAAGACCTACATTGGCTCCCAGTACGTTTCTGAGCACAATTCAAAGTGTTGGTGTCGACCTTTAAAGCCCTAAACGGCCTTGGCCCAGTATACCAGAAGGAGCGTCTCCACCCCCATCGTTCTGCCCAGACGCTGAGGTCCAGCGCTGAGGGCCTTCTGGCGGTTCCCTCACTGCGAGAAGCAAAGCTACAGGGAACCAGGCAGAGGGCCTTCTTGGTAGTGGCACCGCCCTGTGGAACGCCCTCCCATCAGATGTCAGAGAGATAAACAACTACCTGACATTCAGAAGACATCTGAAGGCAGCCCTATTCAGGGAAGTTTTTAATGTGTGACACTTTAGTGTATTTTTGGTCTTTGTTGGAAGCTGCCCAGAGTGGCTGGGGAAACCCAGCCAGATGGGCGGGGTACAAATAATAAATTATTATTGTTATTACAACATTGATTGTTAGGATCATCTGTTCTAGGTGTATGTCATCTGAGAGAAATCAGATTAAATCAAAAGATTCAACTACACTAAAAAAAGAGAGAAAAGCTGACCAAACCAATTTCCTACCTTTCTGCAGGGCTCAGTTCCTGAATTGCTGCCAGCAACTGCGTCAGCACGTTCAACTTCCCCGAGTCAGTCTCAGAGAAAGAGGTTGGGGTATGCTCTTGAGAAACAATATCAAGCAGAGCCTCATGGAGGTTCTGTTTCTCTTGTACATCACAACTCCGATCACATTCTTTGTCCTAGAAAAAGAATAGTTTATTAAAAGTTGGGTGGATTTTATTGTTAACATGACATATTATTTTTAAAGCATCAAGCACCACACTTCAGACAAGTTTACTCTGGATCCTGGAAGGGTGCAGCTAATCACTAAAGCCGATTTTTTTCCCTTCAGCGACAAACAAAAGTTATTAAAGCCTTACAGCAAAACATTTCTGCTTCTTCCTTCTTCAGCTGCTCTGATGTGAATAAAAGGATGCTGTAGCCAAAGTGGGTGTTATAAAGCATTGAGGACAGAATATCCCAAAATGTTGAATACGTAGATAATACTGCAAGTATTAATTCTTACTTTTCCTTTGACAGAGCTCCCACTCCATGCCAGCAGTTTAAATGACAACGCTTCTTTGTAGGATTGTGTGTGTTTCTAATTAGAGGCAAAAGGTTGCATGGCTTGAAAAATCTCTTTTTAAAGCTCAGTAAGGTTTACAAGTCTAAACTATGCAATCAGCACCTCTTAGCTCCGTGGCGCTTACTCCCATGAAACTATATACAGGACGGCAATAATTCCAATACTAATAAATTGGGTATCACGCTATGTACCGTGGCTCTTTTGCACACACACAGCATCATGATGGAACAAGAGAGCTGCCTGTAAAATTTACTATGACACATCCTGCCTCCGCCTATGGGCCTGATCCAGTGTGTGTGTGTGTGTGTGTGTGTGTGTATGTGTTTTGGGGAAGGCAGAGGAAATGACTACATTTTGTGTGTTTTTTTTAAAAAGTATTTCCAAGCAGAAGGTTCAAAGTTGCCGCTAAAGCAAATAAAGCAGCATCTTAGGCAGGGGGTGCTTGGCAGGAAAATCAGCATGGAAAAGATTCCATAAAGGTAGCATCATAGATTTGTAGGGCTTTGGAAGGGACCTCGAGGGTCATCTAGTCCAACCCCCTGGAATGCAGGAACCTCAAGGAGATCATACATTTTTAAAAGATTGCCCTGAAGGAATCATGGCTGCTACTGGCAATATAATACAACAGAAGCAATAGGCATTGCTTTGTAAAAGGACAAGATAAAATACGCTGGCATCTCTTGACATCTTTTATTAGCTAGTTTGAGAGGGAGTTGGGGAGACGGGATAAGAAAAGCCCAATTAATAATGAGTGCAGAAGCCAGCTAAGAGAATAAAGACTGTAAGAAATGGAACTGATAAAGGTTAGCATTTCATTTTCACACTTTCCAGGCTTGAGGTTTTTGAAGAAATCAAAAGGTGCAGCTACTTTCTGAAGTATGTCATTTCTCAGGAGATTTTTGCTGATCTGCCGGTAGCAGCAGCAGCAACAGCTGGCACTGCTGTAGTAAGTAACAAACAGGGCAGCCTCGAGGCAAAGGGAAAGGGAGACAAAGAAAATTCATTTGTCCTGTAACAGCAGCCAGAACATCTGAAGGGCTGGAAAAGAATTTGATCCTTGCCTCCAATGCCTTCAACTGCAGCTGCTGCCACTGCTGATGCTAACAACCATCAAGAGCTGTTCCATGTGCTCAGGTGAGAAAGTAGAAACCAAGAGGAGATAGATGATAGATAGATAGATAGATAGATAGATAGATAGATAGATAGATGATAGATAGATGATAGATAGATAGATAGATATAGACATATATATATATATATATATATATATATATATACACACACACACACACACACACACACACACACATAGAAGCATATATCTGTAGTAGTTTCTGGGAGGGAAGCATCTTTCCCAAAGCTGCCATGGGCAGGTCACTCCCAAAGGGTAAACATCAAAGGGCATTAGGGCTGTGTTAGAGGGAGTAATGATCTGAACCCCAGGTGAGAGATGAAGATGGAGCTACAAGGGAAGCTCAGGTAAGAGCTGGGAGGTGGACTGCTCCAAATAAGAGATGTGCCTGCCACTCAATGTATGCATGTAATTTGTTTCTTCCTCTCATTGCCCACTCAGATCTGTTGACTCTGCTGGCACCATAGTTATTCACAACTTTCAAGGTTTGCTCCTACTCCCAGATGGTTCGTTAAGAAAGTATAGAAGCAGCACCTTTCTTAACAAGAAATATTCTTAACAAGAATATTATCATGCTGCTGAATCAGGTTTTTTAGGTAAATTAATATAATAGTTTCATTGTATTTTTGTGATAAACTCGTTTTGAATTACTGTAATTTGTGAATTTATTGATATGCTTATGTGGTTTTTGATACTTGCTGGTCCTTATGTTGACTGAAATGCTGTTCATTGTGTTTTTCATGGCACCGATAATGTGAGATGCTTTGTAAACAATGTGTTTAAACAAAGCACACTATACAAACCTTTACTGCTTTGAAGAGAAGGCAGGGGTGGTTGCAAAGCTTTTTCAGAGCTCCAATGCATATTAAATGGGAGCTATTTTCCAGACTACCTTGAAGGCAAGATCTAACAAACGGAGAGCTCAGCAGACTTTGATAGAGACTGAGCTGCAGTGCTGTTGGGCGGCAGAAAAGTATGCTCTCCAATTTAGGAGGGAGGAATTTGTTTATGACATCTTGGGTTCTTCTCAGAATGAAGAGTCCAGTGAGGCGAGTTAGTTCTGCTGCTCTTCTCTCTCCCAGTTCAATTTCTTCCTAAGCAAATGAAATGGACAGTCAAACTGGCTCATACAAGCAAGCTCAGGTGCCTAATAATGATCTATAGATATAGAGACCTGCAATGTTGTATTGAGGAGTGTTCCTCTTCGAGTCAGGCAGCCACGTCCCCCTCCAGGATACTCCATTCCATCCCCCCTCCCCAAAGAGTCAGTACAGAGCATGCACAGTTCTGATACATCCCCCTACTGTGGGTGGGTGGTGACATTTTGGCTACACAAGGCAATGGCACCCACACCTGAATTTCAGAAATGGAATGATAAATCCAGTTTTCAAGTTCACATGCCACTCTAGCTTGGCTAAGAAATCCAATCTAGAGCAGAGTTAAGACAATAGGGTTTCCATGAGGAAGAAGCAGACTTATCCACTGTTAATATGCACCCCTTAACTTTCTCCTGCATAAGTCAATAGTTGTCATTTCACTCCTATAAGGAAGAGTAAAGTACTGTGCCTGAGGACAACTGTTGCAATGAACACCAAACTTGCCACCCACCCCTGATACTGGGTGACTCATCCAATACCAGTAGGGATCCTCAAAATATGAGCATATTATGAGCATATGAAGTTCCTTTGTAACAGATGGGACCATTAGTCCAGCTACTACTGTATTGTTTATGGGGACTGGCTCTCTAGGATTTCAGGCAAGGATCTTTTCCAACCCCTTTTGAACTAGAGACCTTCCGCATGCAAAACATGGGCTCTGCTTCTAGGTTATGGCCCCTTCCCACTCATCTGCCAAATATGTTGTGTCTCTGCATACTGATGTGCTCTGTGCACACCCCACTCAGCAAAAGTTATGAGCATTTTGCCAGTTTTCAATCGTATTCAGCAATGGAAGTCACTATAGAGAGCTAAGACCAAACGGAGCTGTTTGTGTTGTACAATAAATTCTGAAAATCCTACTCAGGTTTTAGAAGTATGAACGCATGTAACACTGCAAGGGTAAAGTTAAGTAATGGCTTTCTGTACAAACTCATCCAAAAGAACTGTTCATTCCTCATAAATTGTCAAGAAGCACCGGGTGCCCCTTAATTTTAAATCACGCTGTTCAATTCCAGATTTTGATGATCATGTACCTTTGTCGCTGAAGGCTCTCGGGATCTGAGAATAGGTTCCTCATATACTTTTTTGTATGTAGACAAAGGACCAAGTATTCCTGGATTTACATACTCTATTAATGCATAAAATTCTTGCAGATCATTTTGTACTGGAGTACCTTGGAAGAGAAAGGTAATGCATTTACACCTTCAGAAGGGCTTCCCCCCCAGAGCTGATTACGTTTTCATCATCTTTTGCATTACAATGTAAATTTAGCTTTTTTTACTGTATGGCAAACAGTGCTTCCAGCTAGAGGGGTCTCATCTCAACATCTTGTTTGGACACAAATAACTCTTCATGTAGTATCCTGAGAAGTGTTCCCTCTCCAGCTACATTCATAAATGTAACCAACACTTATTTTATCCCCATGCTAGTCCGTTTGCTGGCAACAGGATGATTAAGTACTCACCAGTCAGAATAATTCTCCTCTCACAAGACAGACTGGCAAGTGCAGTCGTCGTCTTAATAGCAGCATTTTTCAAGCGATGTCCCTCATCACAAATGACAAGGCCAAACTGCGCCTTCTGTATTTGGTCCAAGGAGCGTAGAAACATCTCATAACTAATGATCAGGACTGAATAAAGCGGGGAATTGATGAACTCTTCTACTTTGTGATCCTGCAGATCGTAGAGAGAATTGTAGTGCTTTGTGGGTCAGGCAAGTTAGCAGTTTAAAGAAACAAAAACGCCTGTGTGTTTACTTCCTCACACAGCGGTTAGTTAATCTGTGTATGTCACTGCCATAAGACATGGGCATAGTTGCTAGTTTAGATGGTTCTCAAAGGTGATTACTCCAATTCACATGGGAGAAAGCTATCCGTGGCCAATAGTCATGATGGCTGTACACTACCTGTTGGATGACAGACACCCCTGAACACCAGCCACTGGGGAAGAAGAGCAGGAGAGGGCTATTGCTTTCATGTGGGAAGCCCTGCTAGATGAGGGCAATGGTTTGTCAAGCCCAGCATCTTGTTTCTCACACTGACCATGATGTGGGCTTCTTATGCATGCATGTGCATATAAACATCCTAATTCACATGCACACTCTCCAATCAAAAAATGTTGCACCTTCTGTTATTTGCAAAGCAGAATAATGGCTCTGGTGAGGCGGAGGCACCCTGGTGTTCTGGGGTTTTTTTGCCCTTTTTCCTATCAATTGTTACATTTGTTCTAACAGCAGAGGAGAAAGGTGGTATGACAGATCACGGTAGGCCCATAACAGGAAACGCTATCCTCCTCCTGGCAATGCTGATCAGAAAAAGAAAGAAAGAAAGAAAGAAAGAAAGAAAGAAAGAAAGAAAGAAAGAAAGAAAGCTGCTAAAAAGCTCCTCATTATTCACAAATGGTGAGGTGCTTCTATTCAGTTGTGTTGCAAGTCTCTGGGTAGCTCCATTGACAATACCACACAGCATGTCAATGTAGAACTGTATAGTTACATCTAGATTTTATTGTCCCCACATGGGGAAGCAGCAAAAAGCAACACTCAAAATGATTTTTCAACTGTTTTTTACAATAGGCATACAAATGCTAACAAGGCGCAGTGTAAACATTCTCAAACCAGCTAACAGGCTCTGCAACAGTAAAAATAGAACTGAGGTCTATCCAACCACCAAGGAAAGTACCTAGCATTGTTACAGGTGGCAGGTGAACATTGTTCCTGGTTCGCACGTCATGTTAAACAATAGTTTAAAGAAAACTTAGTAATAAGCCATGGCTTAGCATTACATACTAACCCAGCAAAATGCCTTTATGCCTTGTTTGTGAAAACAAACCATGGTTTGTTGTTGCTTTACTGACCTTAACTATGGCTTAGTATTACATGTGAATGTAAATACCTCCCTAACTATGGTTTACGTGTGTTTGTTTTGTTGCCCTGCCCAAATTGCCCACCAGGTTACTGCAACTTTAAGCAAGAGAAGCCAATCTTGGCATTCAAGAACTCTCACTAGAAAATTTCCTGAAGTTCATGTTGCTGCTAACTCTGACTAATAACAGGATCCTTTTCCCCATCCAACTCTGCCTTTCCCTGCCCCCATCCCTGCCCTACTTCAATTCACAGCTGCAGCTCAAGCTGGAGTTGAAAACTTAAAGGGAATTTCATTGACATATCACTTTGAGCTCTACCTACTTTATCCAAGAAGGTACAGCTCACAGCAGCAGCAACTTTATGCCTTAATAGCAAAGCACAGAAATAGAAGAGAGAATGCCAAGTAAGTGGAAGGAATTCAAAAGAGGTTCTATTCCTGTTGATCATTACAAATGAAACAGATAAAAATACTTAAGTGTGCATTATTGAAAGCAGTCTTTTAACCATCTAGTAGCAGATGGGGAGGGGAGATAGGGGATGGCTCCAACACAGGTAAGGTGTACTGAGCTCAAATTTATGGTAATGGGTCAATTGTCAAGGACCCAGTGGGCAGACCAGAGGAGTGGAAGAAATTAATTTCTAAAAAACACATGCTGCAAAGGAGTATGGGCATTTCTTTATTGGGAGAATGTAAGGAGAACACTGCCGCTTGATTAAAGTTCCTAAAGACTGCTAAGATTCCCACCCCCTCGCTCTTGGAGCTGACCAATGGAAAGAGAAATGGTGACATGATGAGGCAATGCTAGCAGCTGGGCACTGCAAAGCCTTATGGGAAGTCAGGAAGAGGGGCAGCTCAGGGCGAGAAGTAGGCCGTGTGGAAAGAAGGTAGTGTATGACTAAACAGTTAAGAGCGTGGTGCTGATAATGCCAAGGTTGCAGGTTCAATCCCCGTAAGGGACAGCTGCATATTCCTGCATTGCAGGGAGTTGGACTAGATGATCCGCAGGGTCCCTTCCAGCTCTAGGATTCTATCTGCAGAACGTTCTTTGGCACTTTTCAATTAACAGTGGTTTAAGAATGGTTTAACACGATGTACAAACCAGACTATTATCTCACCTGATCCACTAAGAACACCTTGATTCTCTCACTTCCCAGCCATTTTTGAAATTCTTTCCCCCAGTTCTTCACCAGACTCCCAGGAGTGACTATCAGTGCCTGTTTTATTACAGGTTTGCATCCATATGGCCCTTGACGCAGGAGAGTCCAGAGGACTGAAATGCACTGCAGAGTTTTTCCTAAACCCATTTCATCTGCAAGAATGGCTCCAAATCTACAGCTTACTCTGAAAAAAGACAATTGCATGGTTGATACTTTATTCTTCTTCTTTAAAGCTTGGCAATTTTCTGCAAACCATTCTTAGGAAAATCCATATTGTTACGCTATGTAAGTCCTTTTTTCTTTTTCAAAAAATATGTATTGAGGCCTGGCCTTAGATTTTTATTTCGTTTACTTACTATTTGTATGTGTTGGTTCAGTCACACACCTTCAATAATATAACAATGTTGTTACAAGGTGCATATCAAATAATTCATTTTAGTGCAAAACCAGAAAGGTCCCCACAAAACCCACAAGGGTAAAAACATTAATATACAGAAAAGGCTACAAAAATGAATAACAAAATAACATTTATGTTTATTAGCTTAATCTAGTATTTTTGCTTAGAATACACCTCCTTCTAAGTTTCTGAGGCTGTTTTCTTATACAACCTGTATCAAATTTCTAGAAAGCTCCTAATTCTGGCAAAAGCTTTCTCAACTTACTCTGATAAGGGAACGAGATTGGAACAGTTTTACTGAATGAACAGGAATCAATATCCCTACTTTCGCCTTTCATTGTGGTCTTCTCCTTTGTTGTTATTCAGAAGTCCAATGAGGCTTACACTCAGGTAAGTGTGTATAGTTTAAAATCCCTACTTCAAATTACAGAGTTTACATTAAGCAAATGGCACAGCAATTTCAACAATGAGCTTTCTCACTAACTTCCCTGTTAATATGTAACGTGTCAAGTGTATCTCGAATGAGTGCCCTGCTTCTCTGAGGGTGGAATTTGCTAGGAGAGAATCGGTTGCATTATTCATTAATAGAAACCTCCTGCTGCAGCTGGTCGGAATGCAATTCAACCAAATTAACCACCAGGGCTATGCCATTTCCTACCACTACAGCATACCCATGACATATAGGCCAATTCTCAATAAGCTTTGGAGATACCAGCCTGCCTCCCACCCCATGCCAAGGTTCTAAAAAGACCGAAGAAATCAGAAAGCAAGAAGAACGTTTGCCCACCTGTGTGATTTACTGCAGTTGACTAAAAGGCCATATTCCAGCTTTTGTTCACGCAATTTAAAAAGAAGTACAAAATGATTATCCTCTTACCTCATTCCCATCATACATTCATAAAGAAATGTGATCCCTTCCCGCTGGTGAGGTCGAAGATGGTTGACAATGTGGGGGTCCACAACAACATCCACCACAGGCAAGCCCGACTTGTTGAACAACCGCTGGTGATTTGGGGATGGGCGCAGCATAACTAAGCAATCTTAAATTTGAAGCACAGGAATCATGAATGCAACATTACTCAGCAAAAGCTACTGGTTGGGGGAGAAATTGACAGCTGGCAAACACTGCTATGTTTTTAATTACCAGATTAAGTAAAGCAGCAGAACAGCAAGTGATTGTCAATGTTACCTAAATAGATTTTACTCTTGTATTGATTTAAATGCATGGTGTGGATCTGCCCTCAAGGTATGAAGGAATATTTGACTAGCCACTGCTGCCTTCCCCAACCTAGTACCCTCTGCTTTTGGACTCCAACTCCCATCAGCACCAGCCAGCAAGCCTAACAGTTAGCGCTGATGTGAATTATAATGTTTTAAGAATTTTAAGGTCATATGCAAGCACATACATAAATGTATAAACCACATGTCTGAAACCCCACAGAAAAAAAGTCCTGAAACCATTTTGTCTCTCCCAAATGACCTCAAATATTTCTCTGCAAGGTTGAAGGAAATGAGGAGCCTCTCCATTGTCTTTATGCTCACAAATCCTGTCTCAAGGGCACATTTAAGAAATGAATAGGGTGAACCTGTGACCTGTATTCAGGAACTGAGTAGTTATCATAACAAAAGAGTGGTCAGGATGCCCCAGGTAATCCAATCAGGTAACCTGGCAGACAGGATAAAAACAATGCACTCAGACTTATGTTGTAGTCCGCCCCTTCTCTGATATATGTATGATGTATGGAGGGGTGGTCTTGGGCTCCAGGGTGGGCAGTTCAAAAGTCAATATAAGGGCTTGAGCGCATGGTTCGGGGTCCCTCCTGTCTCTTGCATGTGGCAGTGAGCACCTTGTTGCAACAGTTAATAAAGATCAGGCTTACTAGCTGCTTTGCTTCTCAGTATTCTCTGGTTGGCCTCTGTTATTTTCTCCTATAAATAAAATTTATTATTATTATTATTATTATTATTATTATTATTATTATTATTATTATCCTACCGATAGAGAACCTACAAAAGGACTCTATATGGGCTCTGGGGTACCCCATAAGGGAAAAGGAGCAGTTTTTTCTTATAACAATAAGAAGAAACAATTGGAGGGCCCCAGGCTGGGAAAGGTTAGGCTGCTGCAGAAAAGAAAGCATCCTCTCCAAATTAACCAGATGGGTGGGCATTAGTTGCAGATTGTCCATTTAAATGTATTATTGCCTGTTACTAGCAACCCCTGCACATCTCCTCATGTAGATTCGAGATTAATTAAAAAAATATTCACCCCAATATACTGGAGCAGAGGAGGCCAAAAAACCAGGGTCTAAATCCTGCCAGTCTATTCAAATTCAGAAGAGGATAAAACAGAGGTTAAAAACAGATTAAAGCAGGTTAACCATAAAAATCCTCACTTGGTGCGCATGGATCATGACGTGGGTTATAGTTCTGGGAGCCTTTGGGAGGATTTCCTTCAGTGTTAGTTTTGGATACATTTTTGAAAGGGTTGCAGAATGGTTTTGCAGCAGCTTGCGAGACGTTCCAAATCTCCTCGGCAGTCTTCACACCAGACTGGAAACACTTGCCGCTTTTGAAGTCCTCTTCTGCAATTACGCCCATCACTTCAATTTCTTTGCCTCCAACCATCAGAGTCTGGCCTTGGTCAAAATTCTCCAGGTCTTTGGCTTTGTATCCAGCACCTAAGAAAGGCCGCAAAATGTTTAGCCAAGATGAATAGAAAATTAAAATACCGTATTTTTTGCTCTATAAAGTAAGGGGAAATATGTGTGCGTCTTATAGAGCGAATGCAGAACTGCGCAGCTATCCCATAAGCCAGAACAGCAAGAGGGATTGCTGCTTTCACTGCACAGTGATCCCTCTTACTGTTTTGGCTTCTGAGATTCAGAATATTTTTTTCTTGTTTTCCTCCTCCAAAAACTTGGTGCGTCTTGTGGTCTGGTGCATCTTATAGAGCGAAAAATACGGTAATAGCCATAATAAAACTGTCAGGTAAAAGTTAGACAAAGACTTTGGCCACATTAGGTTGGATCCAGAGTGCTCTGTCCATGAACAGAAAGGCTCCAAGATCCAATGGAGACTCCTTGCTGGAAGAAGGGAAGGAGAAGGCAATTCTCATTGATTCCTCTAAAGCCCTGCAGCCTCCTTCTTCTCATGCTTATCCAGAGGATTCCCCCAACCGGCTCCATGCATGTCTGTTTGAGAACCCCTGAATTAAGGGGAGTGAAGTATTACTATACTTTTGAACCATCAGAACAAAGCAAATAATCTGTTGGATTTATCAGTTGGAGTAAATAAAAACCCAAAATGGCGGAGTGCATTAAACATGAGCCTTCAGGGGCCTTCAGCCTGAGATTTGGCTGCTTATTTCAAATCAGAGGCAGGTCTCTGCCTCTGAAGCTCCTGGTCACATGCATCTTTTCCTAACTACCCTCTTCTCTCTCCCAGTTCTCTTCTCAGACTCCTCCCTGTCCTTCCCCACGTTCCTCCAGATCTTTCTCAATCACCAATACTCATACCCTAAGTCCCTCTGTTCCTTCTGACCTACTTCCTTCTCAGGCCCCTCTGCCTCTTTTACTCTTCGTTTCCCAAGCCCCTGCACCTGCCTGGCCCTTCTCTCTTGGATCTGAGCCCATAACCAATAGCAAGCAGCCAGAGACAATTCTGGCTTTCCTACTTCTCTGTGACACAAGAACAGTTCAGCCAATCACTGGCGAAGATTGCGCCACCGCCAAATTTCCTACTCCATTGTAATGCCAACCATACAAACAACTGTTTTCATTTTATTCAAGCACACATTCCTTTGGGGGCAGTGCTGAACTTCTACACATCAGAGTTGCGCCCTAATTTGGCATTACCTCTTCCAATGTCTCTGCCTTCTGTATCTTTCAGGGTCACCGACTTCCCTCTCACAACAAGAATGGCATCACCTTCCCACTTCTTGTGTTTTTTCTTGGAGGCCTTGCACCACACTACGCTGAAGTATTTTGTGAGGCAGCCAGGCTCCTCCTGGTGCCTGGCTGTTGCTGTTGTCACTGGGCACGCTGGACCTGTAGAGGCAAAGACACACACAAAAGGGGAAAGAGAGAGAGCGCTTGTAACATGTCCCTCAGGTTGAGCCCAGGGAGGCAAATGACATGACAGCTGTGAGTGCTACCTCAGCTGTCAGTCTTTTCCCTTTCTTCGTGCTTTTAGATGGGCTATATGCCTTTCTTTTTTTAAGAAAAAAAATTGAAACTTGCAGACACACTAAATTTGAGAAGTGTATATGGTACTTCCCATAACTTCAAAAGAAAAGGAGGAAAGTTTACTAGAACAAATGCTGAGCCTATTTAAATATAACCCAAACAGGCCATTTATACCATCTAGTATCTCTTGTCCTCATTGTAGCATAATTCTTTTTTATTTTTAGTATTTTTTAAAAAATGACCATACTGTATACTGAAAAATGCAATTTTAGCAATAAATTTCAAATACACTGGTTTCAGTGGGTCTACTCTGATAATAATCATGCTTTCTACAGTGGAGCAGAAACATGGTTTATTCTAGTACTCACTATCTACATAATTTGAACATCCTTGCCTGTGTAGAATGTGTGGGATTACCTTGGAAGAAGTCAGAAAGATTATTCATTTTTTAAGCATTTTAATATGCTATGCAGAAGCAATTCCATATAGACAAGCCAAAGACATTCTTGGAAGGGGAAGACATAATCTTTCCAAACCACATTACATAAACCCAATTTACATAAATGTAATTCATTCAATAATTTAAACAGGAAACTAATAGTAGAGACCAATTTTAATAAGGGTTATTCAAAGGTAGTCATGTGTATCTAAATATTCATGTTCTGCCCATCCTGTCTACCAACAGTGGCCTTTAGTGTAAATTAAAAAAGCAAAATTTCCAGAATTTAGTAATCTTGAGTCTAACTAAGCACACAAATGTTCCTTGATTTCCTAAAATCCCATTAACCTTATCATTTTGCACTAAAGTAGTTAGTAAGATCCCTGAGCAAGTGCTATCCGTATCAGTATTTTATTCTAACTCCAAAATAGTTCAATATTTTTTGCAGCACAGGGAAGGGAGGAAAGAATGGGATACTGGTGAACTTTATCTCTGGACTGCATCAGATATTTTATCCTATTCTAGTCCTGAGGTGCCGCCCACAGAGCAAGGCAGGTTGATTGCTGCAGCACCATGGAGAGCTCCTAATGAACAACGTGCTTGACAAGGGTTGGAGGTGAGCCTTTGCCTCCAAGTCCATCTTTCTGATCCTCCACCTCTTTTATTAGAGCACTAGAGGCTCTTAAAGGGCCAGCCCTTTGAGCTGAAGATAAGCACTTCTCCTTTGCTCTAGGTGTCCCATGCACTGTCAGACTGGGACACCTAGAGGCACTCAGTTTCTCAGGCCAGAACTAGCCGCCTGTGAGGGTCTCAGTTCTAGTTCTATGGCCCTGGTCCATGGGATCCAGTTTAGCAACTTCCTGCCAGTCAGCCTCATGGTCAGTGAACCCCCTGATCCCAAACATGAGACCTGGGGCTCTGAAGCTAGGAATCTGGTCTAGCTTCTCAGTGGCAGTATAGCCTTTGACTCGTTGTCCTGGTCACTGCCGGACTTCAGGATTATGACCAGTTTTGTTTTCCAGTTACCTCTCTAGGCACACTGTGTTCCAGAGAAGAAGAGGAGGAGTTTGGATTTGATATCCCGCCTTTCACTCCCTTTAAGGAGTCTCAAAGCGGCTAACATTCTCCTTTCCCTTCCTCCCCCACAACAAACACTCTGTGAGGTGAGTGGGGCTGAGAGACTTCAAGAAGTGTGACTAGCCTAAGGTCACCCAACAGCTGCATGTGGAGGAGCGGAGACGCGAACCCGGTTCCCCAGATTGCAAGACTACCGCTCTTAACCACTACACCACACTGGCTCTCTATCTTCCAGCCCTATCTTCCAGTTGGTCGAGACCCTTGTAATGGTGGCAATTAAAATCAAACACAGTCTTTGATAGACTTGCTGAGAATATCTTTAGCCTGCCCGACATTTTTCCTGATTTTCAGTCCCTGTCCTCTCTTGCCTACTCATGAACCTCTGCTTTCACTTCAATGACTACTGAATAAACACTCAACATCAAAAAATATTCCACCCATGTGACCTGTCAGCCTTTTCACCAGTTGCCCAGGCTTTCAACACAACCACTGTTGAGGATATGTGTAAAATATTGGATTTTGGAGGCAGGCTTCTGGAGATGCCACTACCATTCCTTCATTGTCATCTCTGGTCAGTCCAATTCCACAAACTATTTTGTTAAAAACCTCTTCAGAAATTGTTCTTGGGGAAAAGTGAACATTGGTACTTACTGTGATAAGTTCCTTCTCTGTAGGAAGGAAGTGGGGTTGTCACTACCCACCTCTCCACTAGCAGGAAGTCAAACTTTTGATTGGGTACACCTGGTGGGCACCTGGTGGGCAGGGCAACCCCCTCATCAGTTCAATTTGTGCTTAAGCAGGTAACCTTATAGCCAAAAAATAAACAGGTGAAGAAGAGAAGACGACCCTGGTATGGGCGAAAGAGTAAGAGGAGAACAGGGGTGGGGGAGAGAAAGGTGGAGGAACAGAGCAGGTGCAGAAAGAGGAGCCAGGGAAAACAAGCCAAAGAAGAACAAAGGGAAGTCCGGAACCATAGCTAGTCCAAGTAATATAGACATTGAAGCGCTTAATCAAATTCAACATGCTTTAAAGCATGTTATCAGACAGAAGACAACCAAGCCAAGAACAGGTCCAAGTAAAAGGACTGAGGGCCATAATTCCAGCCATGAATCTGAAAGTCTGGGGTTTCTGCTCCAAAGCTTGCCTGAAGTTCCATTTATACTTGCTTAATTGTCCTAGCAGCTAAGAGACAGCTGGAGCTCAGATGTTAAAACAATGAGGCTGAGTACGATCCAGGCAATGGTCATAAACTCCCTGCCCCTTCCTCTTCCCCCACACCCTTCCCAAATTTGTTGCAGAGGGTTGAGGGAAACCCCAGAACAGATTTAGGGGGCACATCAGTGTGTTTTTTCAGGGGGTACTCAAGAGTATGCAGTACCAGCACCTCTTTTCTTTGGTTGTTAAAAAGTGTAGCACTTCCTGTAACAACTTCATGGTAAGTACCGGCACCTATTTTTCTAGGGGGTGAAAGGACTGGGCACAGGGATACCAAGGGAGTGGGAAGCGAAGTTCCTGTGCTCATTTTAATAATGCAATGGTTATGGTTATTTGTTCATTTATTATGTCAGCTATGTATATATTGCTTAACACCATAGTTCTAAGCAATGAAGTTACAAAAGATAAAATCAGTTAAAATTAACCATAAAATCAGAAAATTTCTGATCCATAAAGCTGTTAATTGCCATAAGTAAGGAGAGGTGAAACACAATAATCTTTTAAATAAATATTTGCACTCTAAAGAGTTTTGAAGTTTATGGGAGTAGGGGGATACATATTTTGTCACCAGCTAGCTAGACTTATATATGCTACTGATCAAGATTATGGCGACTTCTCCAAAATATTTAATCAATGATCTCTACACTCCTAAACTGTTTACAAGCTTTATTAAGGCCAATTTATTTCCAGGAATAAAGAGCTCATGAAAACAAAACAAAAAAAACCCAGAAACACAGATTGGGGGTGGCGGCAGGGAGATTGAGAGTATTCAAGCAATGCTCCCTAAGTGTAGGTAAAGAAGGATAAAGGATGAAAGGACTAAACCAAACAAGATTACGTGGAAGTAATCTCTTTCCCTGCCTCTTATTTTACAGGGTGATATCCTTTGCACATATCAGAAATAGAAGAAGCTTTATCTAGGTGGCGGAGGGCCCCCTGAAAGGAAGCCAAAATTCAAGAGTGTGTGTGCGGGAAACTAGTTCAACTGGAACTGTTAGGCAAGTACAAGCTAGCAGCTTCAGAAACAGACCAATAATTAATTATTTCACACCTAAAACTCAGAAACATTAAAAAAAGCAGAGGAAGCTGCCTTCTATTGAGCTCTACCATTGGGCTACAGTACTTCCCCTTCAGAAGCCTACTCTCACTATTGTACTTTTATAATTACATTTTAGTATGTTCTGGCCCAGTTTGCATGTCCTAAGTGAGGGCTTGTCCACACCTTTACCTTTCCTCCGCTCATTCCAGACACGTTCTGCAATTTAAAACTCAGTGTCTGAGCACCTTTCCCCTGCCCCCTGGAGCTTTCCCTGCAAAAACCTGCTCTTTGAAGCTCAATCAGAGGAACCGTCAATCCGTGGAAAGTCCAAATTGATTTTTGCTCCAATTCAACTTTAAAGAGCAGGTTTCCATGAGGAAAGCTTGGGGCAAAAACAAAACCCTAAAACCGCTTGGACACAGAGCATTAAAGTGCAAACCTCTGATTGGAAGAGCAAGACAATAGGCAAGTATGGATAAGCCCTAAACCAGTGACAATGAACTTTTGGTCTGCAAGCCGGACGCGGGTGGCGCTGTGGGTAAAAGCCTCAGCGCCTAGGGCTTGCCGATCGAAAGGTCGGCGGTTCGAATCCCCGCAGCGGGGTGCGCTCCCATTGCTTGGTCCCAGCGCCTGCCAACCTAGCAGTTTGAAAGCACCCCCGGGTGCAAGTAGATAAATAGGGACCGCTTACTAGCGGGAAGGTAAACGGCGTTTCCGTGTGTGGCTCTGGCTCGCCAGAGCAGCGATGTCACGCTGGCCACGTGACCCGGAAGTGTCTGCGGACAGCGCTGGCTCCCAGCCTCTAGAGTGAGATGAGCGCACAACCCTAGAGTCTGGCAAGACTGGCCCGTACGGGCAGGGGTACCTTTACCTTTTTACCTTTAGGACTTCCCATTTGGCCCTTGTGGCTATTTTAGCTAAGCCATGCTCAACTGCCCTACGCTTGACATCTTATGTGACTCTGGAAGGGGAGGCAGGATAGATAAAGATGCATCTGGGCCAAGAGGCTTTGCTGATCAGCTATTAGAAGCACCGCAGTGCTGCAATAAACCATAGTTACCATGTATATTGTGCATGCTTCACTTCTCCTTTATATCCAGTAGGAGCAACTAATTGTGATCCCTGGCAAAGCATTATATGCAAACCTGGAATCATAGCTTCTTTTGCTCAAAACAACCAGAGTAGGTAAGCCAAGAACAAAACTTGCTTTAACAGTGTGGTGTGTCTGAAATGAAGATTCCTAGTTCAGATGTAACACTGATCCAGAGATCATGATTTATTGCTTCTGTAGTCTAGAGGAGTGAAGGAGGAGCCCTATGCAGTGAACACTCAAAACTATTCTGTTTTTGTGATGTACGAATACCACCATTATATCCACCCTTGTTCAGGTCAACATAGAAAGGAATTGCTGGTGAGATATTTCCATGATAAATACTTCATTTGAACTACAGCCATTTCCACAAGTTTTATGAAAGGAAGAAACAAAGATAGTATTTTTCTCCATTTTGCATATGTTTATTGACTCACAAATAAATGAGTATTTCAAAGGACAGATAAGAACTGATTCACCAAAAAATGAAAAAAGAATAAGATCAGCATATTTTACAACAGCTGTATAAGTTATCATTTGCTTTTGCTAACAGTCATGTGGTCATAAGATTTCAAAGGGGTTTTTTTTTTTAGTCTTAGATCTGGTTCTACTTTAAATCAGAAAACCTGGGAAGACCAGTGGAAAATGGCTTTAATTTCTTTGCAAATTTGCATGAGAAACAAAATGGAAAAAACATGCATACCCCTACCCCCAAAACTTGGGTAAATACTTCTTTTCTAGATCAAAAAGAATTGTGAAATAACCCTGGTTTTTAAGCAGAATTGCTAAATATTCAAAGATTGTTGAATTCAGGAAGATCCCTACGTAGTCGTATCGCCTTTAACTTTTCTACTTTAATTTTTGCTCTCAATAGCTCTTCTTCCAGCTGCTGCCTTCTTTTCAAGCCATCCCTTTTTTCTTGGATATAGAGCCCAATTTTCCTTTGATTTTCCAAAATGATGTGGTGCTCTTCTTTCAGCATTTGCAACATCTGGGGATCATATCCCCCACATGCCGGTCTAAATCGTTCTCCAGTTTCAAGCCTGAAAAATTCATCTCTTCTGGGGATGGGAGATGGAGACAACATTCTTATATCCACAGAAGACAGGGAAGTTGAAGGAGATCTCTCCATTGCATGGACCAAATGTTCTTCTTCTCTTTGCTCTAAGCTCTCCTGTGTTTGTAACTCTACAATCAAAGATGCAGGTGGCTTGACATCCTCCTCATCTTCATCCAGCTCCAGTGTGATAGCAGCAGGTTGGTGCTCCAACATTGACTGTGGTGAGCTGGTAGTAGCAACTATTTTTTTATCCGGTGTAGCACTAAAAACAGACAAATAATATTTTCATCATTAACAGAAAAGAAAAAGGATCTTCTTAGCTCACGAAAAAGGCAAAAACTCAACTTATAAGGCAGCCTTCCCAACCTGGTGGCCTCTAGATGCTTTGGACTACAACTTTCATCAGCCCCAGCCAGCACATCTGGAAGCTACCAGGTTGGGAAGGCTGTCCTAAACCACTTATGAATTAACATTTGATAAAAGACACTACCATTGTTCACATGTAGATTTGTCACTGAGAGGGGTACACATAGAGCATAAGGCTATCTGACTTTGTCATATGATGTATAATAAAATCTAATTGAAAAAGTGAAGAAAGAAATACAGAGAAAAGGAGGAGTGTAGACTATTTTAAACATCAACATCATATTGATTGAATGAAAGGAGCAATAAAATCTCAAACCATCCCTGCCAGGATAGCTCTAAGGGCTTCGTATGGCTTTCTTTCCCCAGGGCCTGAATATTATTTTATCTCAAAGTATTTCTTTCTCCATCTATATTCCACACATCCTACAGCATTCCTTATTCAAAGTAAGTATCTCAGCACTTCAGTTCTGGGGGTCACAAGTGCTACCTGGCTTTTGTAGTCAGTGATTACCGTCTTTTTGGCTCCATAAGGCACACTTTTTCCCTCCTAAAAAGTAAGGGGAAATGTGTGTGCGTCTTATGGAGCGAATGCAGGCGGGAGGCAGGCGGGAAAAGCCCCCAAGAGCCGCACTCACGCTCCATGCGGCTCTTGCAGGCTTTTGTGGGAGGTGGGGGAAGGGACAGAGGGCAGCCCCTCAGTCCCTTCCCCCACCTCCCGGAAAAGTCCTCAAGAGCCACACTCCCTTTCACGAGCCACGTGGAGTGTGTGTGCGGCTCTTGGGGGCTTTTCCTCCGAGGAGGGAGAAGGGCAGCCCGTCAGTGATGGGCTGCCCTTCTCCCTCCTGGGGAAAAGCCTGCAAGCGCCGCACACGCGCTCCACGCAGCTTGTGAAAGGGAGCGCTGAGCAGAGCCTGGGATGCATACAGGCTCTGCTCAGCGCTCCCTTTAAAAAAAATTTTTTTTCTTGCATTCCCCCTCTAAAAACTAAGTGCGTCTTATGGTCAGGTGCATCTTCTGGAGCGAAAAATACGGTATTTGTGGCTACTCCAACTCTTCCCTTCTCAGGTTGTCTAGGGGGGTAGGGAGGGCCAGAGTAACCTGGTTACTTGGCACTGGGCTGGGGAGCACTTGGAAGTGGTGAGAAAATTTCTAGCTGCTTCCAAATGTTCCCCAGTACAGTGCAAGGTAAGTGAATGAACCTACCCTTCAGAGGACGTGAGGTGGGCTCGAGATCAGCTTCTCATCTTACTCCAGATTAGGTGAAATCCTGAAAGATTCTCTCGCTTTCACCTTTCCAGAGGGCCTTGAAAGTATGGAGGAAGGTATGGGAGAGACTACTGAAGATCATAGGATCATCAAACTGTGGAGCTGGAAGGGACCCCAAGGGTCATTTAGTCCAACCCTCTTCAATGCAGGGATCTCAACTAAAGCATCTATGAGAGCTGGCCATCCAACCTCTGCTTAAAAACCTCCAATAAAGGAGAGGACTTCCTCTTTCCTTCTCCCTTCCACCAAATTACATATCTTCCCCACGCCTAAGTAGACTGTAGTATGGATTGGAGAGCCTAGCCTCACCAGCACCAGAGAGGATAGAAACTGTTGTGACTCAAGCCTCGAGATGGGGAATCTGTGACTGCCCAGATGTTGTAGGACTCCCCTCCCTTATCAGACACAGCCAGCATGGCCAATGGTAAGGAAAGATGGGAGCTGTAGTCTAACATCTGGAGGCTTTCTGTCCATGCAAAAAGTCCTTTAACAGGACAGCAAGCTGCTAAGAAGCTATGAAAGACATTGGACAGTCTGGTGAAGCACCAGGACCAACTTACCTATTTATCATTGTTTCTTAAATATTTTTAAAACATCTATGAAAAACAAGATACAATACAATACAGAGTAATGCTGGGGTGAACAGTCCGACCAAAATTCTGAAAGCTGGGAATATAATTTACTACATTAATGGAGATGAAGATCTGGCTGGAAATCTGCATTAATGTTCTCACAAAATGCCTTCAGTGTGTGCTAACTGGCTATCTTACAAAAACTAGCTTATATCAAAGATTCACATTTATATTATAAACTTAAGAAGAATGCAAGTTTTCATCTACTAGTGTGGGGAGACCTCTATTCATTAATTAAGAGAGACAGTTACCATGGTGGAATTGATATTCAGAATCCATCAGGCATCTGTTTAGTATGAGTCAGTTATGTCAGTTTTAACAGAGCTTGGAATTGGTCATCAAATGTCAAATTAGATTCCTAACTCTGCACTGCCTCCAAACAAATCATATGCTGATCCAACCAGACTAAATCTGCTGTTACTAGTTTCATAAGGAAGTGACCGTCTTCGACAAGGGTATTGGGTAACAGCAGAATTCAATGGTGTGTTTCACTAGGGTGACCCAACCCTATTTTATTAGTCAGCTACCTGCAAAGCATGGGTGTTCTGTAAAAACAGAGCATAGGTACTTGATTACTGTGCAAGTTCAGGGATGGAGCTGAAATCTGCTTTGGTAGGGGCAATGCAAGGAGTCTTATGTATTAAAAGCATAAGAACCCTACTAGTCCAGGACCAAAGGTCTATCTAAACCAGCATCCTCTTTCCCATAGTGGCAAACCAGGTGCCTACAGGAAGCCTGCAAGGAGGATGTGAGCACAAGCATGCTGGTTCACAAACATGCCGCCTCTGATTCTGGGGGTAATATACAGCCATCATGACTAGTAGTCATTGACATCAATGTGTCTAGAGTTCCCTTTAAAGTCATCTAAGTTGGTGGCTGCTACCACATCTTGGGCTAACCAATAAATTCCATAGTTTAATTATGCACTGTGTGAAGAAGTATTGTGTTTACTCTGCCTTGGATCTCTCACCTTACAGTTCACTGGATGACCCCTCCCTGGGATTCAGAGAGAGAAGATTCTCCCTATCCACCTTCCCTACACCATGTGTAACTTTATATACCTCCTTAATGTCTCCCTTTTGCTAAACAAAATAGCTCCAAATACTGGAACCCTTCGTCATAGTAGATTTACTCTCCAAGGCCTCCATACTTACTTACCTTTTGGGAGAGAACCATTTGATACCCACTGGTTTTTTTTAGGGGGTAACTGCATATTACAGGCAGTTGGAAATTAGCCAGGAGCATTTTTGACTGGCCCAGGTCCAACTGCAGCCATGTGGAGATTCCTGGATGCAAGGTTGGCAACTGGGGAAAGCAAAATATCGCTTAGAGAAGGCTCTGGAGTATTTTCCTCAAAGCTTGAATTCATTTTATTCTGGATTGTTTTATTTGATGTTTTAATGTGTTGTAAACTGCTTTGACACTTGCCATTTAAAATACAAATAAGTATAAAAATGTAATTAATAAATATAATGAACCCCATTGCAAAAGAAGGTGCCTGGGCAGTCCATGGTGATGACCGCAACCTAAGTTTAAGGTGCCATTTGGTGATTAGACTATATATCTGAGTTTCTAATTCTTGACTACTGGTAAACAAAGGCCTGATGCTGGACTATGCAAGAAAAACAGCTGGGCTGGGGTTTGAGAGACGTTGCACCAGGAAGGCGCTTACCGCATTCCTCATCTGCCAGTTTAGGGCACCAAAGTGAATCCCCCCATGGTTTCCCTGGACCACAGGGTTCACATCATTAATAAACATGCATTTTGAAGCTCACGGGGTGGAGATTAGGAGCACAGAAACAATGAACAAGTAAAGGTTTGCACACACCCTTCTGTCTTTCAGCCAAATCTTAGAGAGCACAAAGCCCAATACCTTCTGCCCCTTAAGCTAACTGGCCTCAAAAAGGCTGCCCTGAGCTTTCTAACTACTTGGCAAGAGGTAACAAAACAATTCTAATAAATTTTCAAACACCTTTCAATTGAATTAAGCTATAATGATTTAATTGTAACTGCAGTTCAGGATACAGAAAATGAAAAGAAAAAAAACCCACAAAAGCACCGCTCAGGGTCATAACAGGCAACAGAGAATGGCAATGTCAGTCAAATGACACTGCACGATAGGCCAGCCCGTGGATATAGGAAAAATATGAGTCATTGGCTGCTTACGAACTGAACCCTTGTTATAAGCAATGTGAGCTTGCGGGGGGGGGGGGGTAAATATATTAATCGGTAATATTAAGTTATGAATCTCCTTTTGTATGTGCCTCAAGGCAATTTACAAACAGCTCAAATTAGTTTTAAAAACAGTAAAAAGGAACACCTAAGGCCGCGGCCTTTTCATCCTGCTGGAAAAACAAAAAATGCTGCTTGTCAAAACAAAAAATGTCTTCCATTATTTCTGGAAAGTACAGGTAGTGGGAGGGCACCTCTGGTATCTTATTCCACAAACTAGTGGCGGCCGCAGTGAAGGCCCTGCTTCAACTTACTGTGAAGCAGGCTTTTCATATTTGGGGAACTTTGAGCAGACAGTCTCCTGTAGAACGTAGGGAGTTACCAGGTACATAAGGTTATGAAGGTTTCGCAAGCAACCTGGTCCTGAGCCATATAGGGCTCTATATGTTAGTACCAGAACACTGAACTTGGCTTGGTAGCAGACTAGCAACCAGTGAAAATGCAATGGATAAGGTGTTAAATACTGGCAGTTGTTTGGTCTCACAAGCAACCAAGTTGCCACATCCTACACTGGTTGAAGCCTCCAACACAACCTCAAATGTGCAGAGGACGTTGCAGTACTCCAACCCTGAGGTTACCAATGCATGAGTGGTCATAGCTGTTAAAAGGTCCTCCTAGCCACTGAGGACACCTGCGCCTCCAGTGACACCCTGGATGGCGCACCTGCTCCTTCAAAGAGTCCAGTTTCCTGGACTCACATACAGAGCCTCCATCATGCTATGATTTCAGACTCAGTTTATTACTCTCATCCAACCCACCACTTCATCACTTCATCCAGCCACTGGAGAATTTTAGAGAGATGAGGCAGAGCAGATTGTGTTTCTACTTCTCAATGGTGACTTATGATTGGGAACTGGAAATTTGGAGCTATGCATCATTCTTATCTACCCCTGTTGGCCAACCCCATTCCATGACTCAATGGTCCTACGTATCAGGTTTCTGTTAATCAAATGGGAGGAAGAAATTAATGGTTTTCAGACAGCAGAGACTGACACGGAAACAATAGTCATGGGAAGCGGTGGGGAGATGAAGAGGTAGAACCTCAGTTGGTTGGGAGGATGGCCAATTTGGTCCACAAGTTCTCTCTTGAAAAAAAGGAATATATTATGGATAAAAAGGATTCAGAAAAGCTTTTCACTTAGATCCCAAACAACTACAGGGAAGTCAGTTTCATTCAGATTAATGAAACTTACTCCAACATAATATGGTCAGGATCAGGGGATTGTTTCTCCAACTGTTAGTGAACTGATGCTTTTGGAAAACATTCATTACTGAATAAAATAACAAACAAATCTTTCAGATTTCAATGGTCTTTAAGGTGCACACTATTAATATTTTCAAAACATTTGTGTGCCACATTTGTGCTGCTCACAGCACCCAAAATGGCTTACAATACAAAAATAAAACACAGCTAATTACAAATCCACCCATTTCCACTACTACAAAATTATTAAGCTACAAAAGAAACCTGCTGTATTGGCAAAGGGGTTAAAGGAAGAGTATATGACCACCCAAAAAGTGGCCCCATACTTCTGGCTTATGCTGACCATTTCAGTCTACATCAGTATTGTGGAAATTATATACACACACCCTTCTAACATGCTATTACAGATCTATATGTACAGTACTTAGATGGGAGTATGCCTGAGTGAACTCAACAGGGGCTTACTTCTGAGAAGAAAGATAAAGGATTGTGCTGCAAAAGTCCATTTTGAATATACCTTATCTACCCTAGGCAATACAGAATTATTTCACCAAAAGGCCCACCACCACATGTTATTTTACAGCATCTGCCATGGTGGGATTTAGACGACTGTTACCATTCAGAGCAACCAGAGGCAGCACAAATCAAGGACTGGCCAGTGTGCACAAACATGCCAGTTTTCCCGGAAACTCAGATTAACATATTTGTTTTGCACAGTAAGTGACATGAATTTAAATGGCTTGCGGCAGGAGTAAGGAAGAGAGCTGCTCGATTCCCCCTGGTTTTTAAAATGTCTGCATCCAGGCACAGGACAAATCTGGTCTGAGAAGCTTTTGAGCAGCCGTGTTTTGCAAGTCAGTTGTAGAGGGGGAGGGCGGCATAAGCAAAGGCCCTGCAAGAAAGCTTGAAGACAGCCTGCCTGCTCTACGTCTGGCTCAAATCTAGAGAGGCTCCGATTTGATTCTACACTAAAAGGCTGCTGGAAAATATGAAGACTTTTGTGTGACTGCAGTGTTCCGATCTGTCTGCGCACGACCCCTGTAAATCTGCTCCATAGCCTCTTTTTTGCAGTTTAAATTGGAGCATTAATTTGCATACTGGCCTCCGAGAATGTGATTGTTTAAAACAATCCATCTGCATTGTTTAAAAAGGCATGGTAGCATGCGAAGTAAAATCATTTAAAAGGTCTAAATTCAGTCAAAATGTATTCCACCCTGAGAGATTAACATAATCCTTGACTGGGCACACTGTACTGAGAGAGGCTCCTTTGTTCTCCTGCTCGACTTTATGTAGATATATGTTATCCAAAACAGGCATCAGCTTCCGTATGCAGAGGCAAGCTGACCGCAGTACTACCTTAAATGTAGAACAGCCTTTTGCTTGGTCAGTGTTTGAATGCTATGCCTATTAAAAGGGGAGGGGTAAAAGTTGGAGCTCCTATTTCCCTTGGATTCTTTCTTAACCCTCACTTGCCAAGGGTCTGACAATAAGATCTTTTGAAATGCGGCTGGAAGTTGAACAGAAAAGTCGGTCACTGTTCAAAAATTAAAGAAGTAAATAATAACAATAATCACAAGGTTTTAACTTTTCCCAAAGGCTAAGGCATGTAGCTCAAAGGGGGATGGCCAGAGAAGACAGGAGGCGCTATAGCGGCCATCCAGGCGCAATGTAAAAGTCAACTTACCATGGCAGATTGCTCCTCTCCCTCAAGCACACGCTGGAAATCTGGGGGATCATCTCCACAACTTTCTTGGTCGGTTCAGAGATGTAGCTTTTATAATCAGAAAGGCTCTCTTTTTGCTGCAGTAGCTCCTGCTTGGCGTATTCCTTGAGCCTCTTGTACAAGGTGCGCAGGCCTTGCGCGGTGCGAGGAGGGCGGTCAGCTCCAATGGCATTGTAGTTATCGGCTATGATGTCCCAGCATTTGTTTTTCTCCACTATGACCGAGTGCTTGTTGGTGTGCTCTTCGAGAATCTTAACATACGGCTTGACAAGTTTCAGCAAATCGAGCTTTTCAGACAAGGTAAAATTCGAGGACCTGGCCTTCCCAACCATCGTTCTCTCCAGCTTGAAGAAGCAGTTCCTGAAACCACCACGCAGATCCTAGCTCTGCTCGGCTCTTTTTCACAAACAGAAAAAGATCAGGCTTAACTAGGCTTGTCTCATTTAGGCCCACGCCTACAAGGGAGGGTTTATTAAAATTCCTTCAGCTTAAGCTGACGCAGGTTCAGGAAATCTGCTTAAGCCAAGCCTGACCTACATAAGGCTTCAGATTGAAGGAGACGAGGAGAAGCAGGCAAAACACACACTTTTGTGTCAAGAGACCCATACATACACCGGATTGAAAACATAAAAGGTTTAAAGATTAGCACATTACCCTGCTAAATATTACCCAATTCATCCTGAGTTAACAAGCTCATGCACATCTCTTTGAGCTGACAAGAAACTGAAACTGCACAGAGGATTGAATTTATTCATGCCCAAGAAAGCAACAACTTTTTTTTTTTTTGGTCATTTATTGATTGTTAAGCCGAACCACCACAGCAAAAGGAGAAATGAAAACAACAAACAGGGGGATTTAGGAGCGGGCGTGTGTAGAGAGATCCCTAACAGAGCCCCTGATCACGGCTCCCTAGCTGCTGTTCTCTCTGGCAGTATTTGCATAATGCTAGTCCTGCTGTCAATCAGGAATTGCATATCGCCTAGCTAGTTAGGTTTCACTCAGGCTCAGGCTTCACAGTAAAGCTAAGCTTCCCCAGCACTTTGCAGCTTGCCTCTGCTTCCCACGCACGCACTTTTTAAAGAGGCAGTCACTCAAAAGAAGGAGTGCCATGAACAAAAGAGCTGGGGGGGGGGACATTAACATCAAGTTCTTTTCATATTCTGCCACCCCTTGCAGCTGTGCCGTTCCGTAATCTACCCATCTCACAGCATCCATGGTCACCATTCAGCAGGGTTGTGGCTAAAAAATAGCTCTCGGGAGTCAAGTAATAATCACAACATTCAATCAGGGTTCTGGATTCATTGTACTGTGTGGGCTTTTCATAACTTCCACCAAAAAGCTATTATTATGTTAAGAAACCCAACCATTGCACAAATGGAAAACATCAATTTTTAACTATTGTTTGCCCAAATCACACAGGTATTCACACACAGTATTTTCTCTCTCCTTGTCTCAGAAAATGTATAGTACTGTAAAAGGAAGTAGGAGAGGCTGTTGGATTTGGAAAACCCACTCCATGAAGGTCACTCTCTAGCGTCAAAGCATCACATCTTGGCCTGGCCTCCTCCCTTCACTGGGGTTGCTGTGAGGATTCAGAATTCTCTCCTGCCCAAGGCAATATTTTAAGACAAGGAAACTGAGAGAGACATACATCTAACAAATAAAAAGATCCCAATTTTAAAGCATCTTTATTCCTGTTCTCTATCTAACAAGTGTGTTTTGCTTAAGACTTGAGACAGATTTGGGAGACATCTGGCTTTTACATTTTCAAAAAGAAGGAGATCAGCCATTGTGCGGTTCTTTGTCCTTGGTGCAACCTGAAACCGGCATAGCACCTCCTAGCCTAATCCAATTAAGTTTGCCATCTCCTCCTGCACTTCCATCTTAAAACAATGACCAAATCCAGACTGCCTGGCAACAACATCATCAGCCAAATTCCCTCCATCCCCCCACCCCATTTTGCTTTATGTCCAGCCTGATGAAGATTTCTTGAAAGTTTGTTAACTAATGGACATTTTACCGAAGTGTAAATTCTGAAATATTTCATATGGATAAGCATGGAACTTTCATGATTTATTTATAAAATGCAAATTGCCGCAGAAGTGTGGAGAACTGAACTGAAGATGGGGGGGGGGCCCTAAGAGAACCAAAATGGACAGATCATTCCATTTGTAATTAGGATTTGGAAATCTTTACCCTGTTTCAAGTCTGAGAAGATCTGAGGGAAGATTTAATCCAATTGCTACTTTAGCCCTAATAATTACATGAGGGAAGCCAAACAATAAACATTTTTTTAAAAAGTTAGCTATTTGGCGTGGGCAACTTCAAGCAAGGTTCACCCACAATTTGCCTGTTAATTATGTTTATACCTATATTCTTGGCAATTTTATTGACTCGTAGCTCAAGTAGAGCACCATGACCTCAGCTCTGAGCTCTCTGGAGCAGGGGTAGGCAACCTAAGGCCCAGGGGCTGGATGCGACCCAATCGCCTTCTCAATCCAGCCCACAGACAGCGTGTTTTTACATGAGTAGAATGTGTCCTTTTATTTAAAATGCATCTCTGGGCTATTTGTGGGGCATAAGAATTCATTCATATTTTTTTTCAAAATATATTCCGGCCCACCACATGGTCTGAGAGATTATGGACCAGCCCGTGGCTGAAAAAGGTTGCTGACCCCTGAGGAAGGGCAATATAAAAATATAATGAGAGCAAATAAAATAACATGTGTATGAGTAAGGCGAATGTTCCATCCGCCACCTTTCATATAGGGCAAAGGTAAAGAATCTCAGGCTGGGGGGGGGAATCCATACCCGCCCCCACCCCTTTCACACACCCTTTCCCAGACTACACCTCTTGCTAACCCTGTTTCACATCCTCCTCAAATGTTTTTGTCTGGCTAGAGAGTCCCTGAAGTCTGGCAATTCCTGGCTGGAGAACAGAGAGGGTGGTATGAATGCAGAAGCAAGCCTATTGTATCCATTGATATGGCCCTGCCCACCAATGGAATGTGTCATCTGAAAGGTTGCCCAATAGTTAATGTAGCCCTTGGGCTGGAAAAAAACAATTTCCACCTCTGAAATAGGGGAGCCTCCTGTAGACTAGGAACATACAATAATGTTTTATACATCTGTCTTCTGAGGTCAGTCCTATTCAATCAGGTGGAACTTCTAACCAGGTAAGTGGGAGTACAACTGTGTCACAAACCATTCAAAGCAGCCAATTTAAAAACAGGGTCAGAAAAATAAATGTAACAATCCAACAAAAAGAGTGCCAGAGAGGCTATTAAAAGAACCACAAAACCAAATGGAACCAGCAAACCAGAACCAAGCATCATGCAGGTCAGAAACGTGCCTCAACAACAAAAATTATCCTTCAAACAAAGTACAATTTATCAAATGCAGCACTAATACCAAGCATCAGAAAATTGGGCAAGTGGATAAACAAATCTGAAAGGCAAGTGTGGGATCTGACAGGTTTAAAATTTATTCAAAGATACATATACCATCCTACTATGATAAAATACAGAAATCATTATGTCACAGTCTACAGCTAGTAGATATAGATTTATTTATTTTTATTTTTTGATGGATTTACTTAACCTTCATTGTTTCATTCTCAGAACTCAGGCTCCCAAAAACCTTCATCCTCCCCCAAAAAACCTTTTACCTGAACCCTAAAAACCAGGGCTTTCCTTCCTAAAAAAGCTCAACAACTACCTGAACCCCCCAAAAGGGGGTAGATCGCTGCCAGTTTTTAACTCTGAGATCACAGTCTCTTGGGAGTTGGCCATCCCTGCCAATGGTTTGACTTCACCCCCAGAGGTGCACTCCATTGTCTCTTGAGACAGATGAGTGTCAATAGTATCATATAAACAACTATATACTGTGTCCCTCTTCAAATGCCTGTCAGACTCTTTGGTCCCTTGAAAGTGGCTGCTATTTGTTTTTGTCTATTCATTTTTGCCCTTTCCTCATTTTGAGAACCTGAAACACTGACAGTATCATTGCTGAGGGAAAAAACCTCATCCTCAGCCAGATGCTCCCAAGCTCCTGACAGCTTTCCTTCATAAGCAATTTTAAAAACTGCTATGCTTTAGTTTATATTAAACCAGTCTACTAGGGTAACATTCAAATGTTTGTTTTCTTACCTATTTTAGTTCTATATGGTGATTTCACTCCGGTTTCAAAATGGCAGTCATTATTATTATTTTTAGAGCAAAATTCTCCTTGATCAGATTTCACAGCCAGTGTAGAACTTAAGTCACAAGTTGTAGAACAGATGTTTACAGATGTTGAGCCATTCAGTTGTCCCTCATTCACCTACAATACATTGAAACAGTTTGGATTGCACATGACTTTTCATGCAACAGTATCAAAATAAGTGTGTAGCTTTTTCTTATTTAAATACAAGCTGAAGCCTGAAAGAAGTAGAAGTTCATATGATGAAGGAGATAGCTCCAAGGAGGGAAGGAGGCACTGTGAGAAGCCTAGCTTGAACTATGCTCTCTCCACAATTTCCAAGCCAGTGGATAGAGGTTTGTGTGCATTCCCTGGCCTTACCATTCTAAGAGAAGGTCAAAACATAAGGATGAGGCTTTCCTAGAAGTGCCCAACAGAGAACTTCTGGGACTGGGGCAGAGTTACTGGGAGCAGATATATTTCTCTAGCCTTCCTTAAGAGAACTTTGGGGAAAGAACACATATGAAAACTGAAGTAGTGGGAGAAAGGCTTCTCTAGGACAGGAAGGCTAACATCGACCTTCTGCACATATGTATCTAGTATTTGTGGCTCTATTCAGTACCAAGCATTGTGCTCACACAGCATCCCTAAGTTCCACATTAATATAAAGATACTGTACAAACCATGGAACAATCTTAACACACATGTAAAAGAACCAAGGCCTGGTCTGTGTGTTCTAGTATGCCAAAGGTAATAGTTTACCATGCACAAGTGATCACGTCCACTTTGTTCATCCACTTGGGGGAAGTGTGTGCAGCAAACCAAAATCCCTGGCTTACCATTACATCCAAACTGGGAGTCATTGTTTATTTCGCTGGTAAACCTAGAAACTTTGGCATCACATAGTGGTTTGCTTTGAGTGAAACAAATCACAATCCCTAGTTTGAATGTAACAGTAAGCTAGGGATTGTGTTTTTTCCTTCTACTGGCTAGAAGGGAGGAATGAAGTGGGAAACTTCTGTACGTTGACAGTAAACCATCAACTATTGTGACATGCAAACGCTGCCATTGCGTGAACCAGTTTCCACCGATGCCACTGATGTTTAGCTTTGGAGTCATTTTTCAGACAATTTGTCTATAGTTTTGCTTTCAGGACCCTTTTGCACATGGACTAACAGAGCAGAATGCAAAATTACAAGTAAACATGCATCTGGGCTGGATAGCTTCAGGTTGCAAGTGGCAGAATACATGATTGCATACTCCCCCACTGAAAAATAAATAAATCCCTGCATACAGAAAGTTAGGTATCAGAGTGGAAGTGATACTGGCACTCCCTGACAGCTTGTCTTCTATATGGAAGGAATTTGTGAGTGAAGCATCTGATCCCGTAAGCCCCTTATAGCCTAGGCCAGAAACAAACATATTATCCCAGTGAGAATTAAGATTCCATGGATTTCTGACATAGATTATTCAAGTACAGTTTTCATTCAGTAATAATATTACACTTGCTTTCTTCCTCCCTTTTAATATTACCTCTGAGCCTGGGTGTTCAGATTCTTTTTTCAGAGACAACATATGGGTTTTTCCTGGAGGTATAAACCTTGGCTTTTTGACTGAATTTCCCATCAGTTGACTAGGAGCTGCTGATCGTCTCATGTTCAGTTCTGTTGGTCTGAAAAACAGCAAAAAAAAGAGCTTTGCTTTAAAAAGCGAGCCCTAAAGAAAGAAACTCTTAAATACTTCCCAGAACATATCCTATTCCTGTTCTCACACCAGTGAGGAAATACCCAAAAAACTAGGAAGTATGGTTCCTCTTGTTTCTCCTCCAGGTGTACCAGCCTTATTAGGTGGGTGGTAGGAAGAGGGCAGATGTGATCAAGCCATTCTCAGTATTCTTTGGAGTCCTGAGGGAGGCTAACCTGGTACCCACCACTATTTTGGTATCAGGTGAAGACTTTTATGTTCTCAGGTTAAGTTGAAAGTTTTAATCATGATTTCTTAAGCACCAGACTACCCATGGGAGCACCCTTTTTTTTTTTGTATCAACCTGCCCAATCACTACATTCAACCCACTACATTCATCTCCTGACTCTGCCACAGTCCAAAGAGATTCATTTCTGGTGGCAACCCTCTCCTCAACTCCACTGTGAGCCAAGGCAAATGCCGGCAATGTTGTCCAGGTGCTTGCTTAAAAAAAAAAAATCCGTAAAGCCCTCTATTTATTTCCTCAGGCCTCTGCTGGCCATTTGTGTCAGTTGCTTATATTTATTAATTCCATATATGCAGGAACAAAACTCATCTTCAGGTTCTTACAGCGAGCACCAGAAGCATATATTTGTCCACCGAAGGAAAGAAAACACGGTCTTGTTAAAACTGAACCGAGGGAGCAAGAGCTTCTGAGCATGTACAGAGTATCTTTCGTGTTTGTGGAAACGGAAACCTGAAAAGCAGAAGCGCACTGGGTGCAGCCAGCCCAGTTACTGAATCCCCCACCCTAGGCCTCTGAGGAAGGACTGCTTCAGCCCCCTCCCATTCTTAACACGACGCCGCACTTACTTTGCAATTTAACCGTCCCGCCAAGACAACACCGTCGCCCTATCGTTCGCCAAACGGCGCATGCGCAGCCGATCGCCCCAGGCTGCTCTCAACTTATCGCGCCCTCCGTTCGCCCCACTGCGCATGACCAGCATTCATGCGCGGCGCTCGCCTCCGCCTCGCCTCTCTTGAGGGCTGCCAGGCAAGTACGAAGGAAACCCTACTGCGCATGCTCCGCTGGTGCTTTTGCCGCGCTCGACATGGCGGGCCGCCGGGTACGCTTACGCTCTACGTCACACGGCCATCAAGCGTATTTGTCGCAAAGTGCCTTCCTCGCCTTCCCCCGTTGCCTAGGTTACTCGTTTTCGCAGGAAAATACGGCGCTGGCAGAGGAGGGCGTTAACCAATTCGCAAGGCTGAAGAGGATGAATTGCCGAGTGTCATAGAGATAAAAATATAGAGCAACTCACTCCAACACAGATTTGGAACTTGCAAGGTATATTTTTCTCCTTTTCTTCCCCGCTCAGAGCTACCCATAGAAGACAACGGGCAGAGCCAGGATATTAGCGTCAGTTGTGACTGCTGTGCGGGGAGTGTCTTAGGGCGGCCCAGCAGTGTGGCCCATCGTTCAAACTGCTGATCCGATGGTGGCGCTGAGGTTTAATGTGGATTTACACGCAACGCCTTTTCCTGCCAAACGCCCCTTATTAGCCTAGTCTCTCCCACCTGCGCCCTCCCGGGTTAAGTTCTAGGGTTGCCACCCGGTTTGGCAATTTCTAGGGTTCCACCCGGTGCTGAAATGACTTCAAAAGCAATCCATTGCGATCTAACTGAATGGCTCCTCTGAAATTTGTCACATTCTCCCCCCCCCCCCGCAATAAATAAGATCCGAGTTGGAAAGAGGAAGAGCTCCTGCTCTCTTTTGCTTTAGCAGAACGCGCCCTGCCTGCAAAAAAAAAAAAGCTGCTCTAAAATCCTGTATTTTCTCCATTGCTTTCTATGAGCAGCTTAAAAAAAAGCATCACGAAAAACTCGGAAGTTGCAAAGCACGTGCCGCTCTAGAATTCTAAGTCTACCCCGAAGAAAGGGGCCAGCTGAGCGGTCGCGTGCGAAGAAGGCGGGGCCAGGCCAGCCCCTTACTCCTCTTATTGGCGGGGGTGGAGGCGCGGAGGGACTGGACGGTGGCCTGTGGGGAGCAATTTATGTTGCGGAAGCGCGCTTTCGCGAAGCGGGTGAGGCGAAGAAGAGCCGTTTCTGGGCTTTCGCTTGGAGGGCGGGAAGGAGGAGAGGAATCGCCACCCTGAAACCTGCCTTGGGAGGGAAGCTTTGAGGCAGGTGGCTCCCCTTGTTTTCTGATAGCGATTTTGCCTGTGTACTTTTAAAAAGTAACCCTCTCCCCCCCCCAAAAAAGAGAAAAGGCTAAGACTAATTTGCAAGGGTGCTCAGCTTTTATTGTTGTTCTTTTCAAGAGACTTAACAATAGGTTGCAGTGTGAACTTTGGGAAACCAACAGCCCACTTTTGTCAAAAGCACCTTGAGTACCATTCTGTGATTCTGTACCAGTGGTTCCCAACGCTTTTTTGGACCATGCCCCACCTAAGCATCTTTAAAATCCTGATGGGCCCCCCGCCCCCTTGACATATAATTCTTATTATTCAAAAAGTCACATGGAAGAAGCCTAAAAGACCATGAATTCTTAATAACTCATTCTCGAATTGCACCCCCCCCTTAAAAATCAAATTGCCCCCCTGTGTGTTGGGAACTACAGTTCTGTACCAAGTTGCTGACATCCTGAATCTGGAGCAGCTGCCTTAGTCTGTTTTTGTTGACAGTTGTTATAGCGTAAGATGGAGGAGTCGTGGCTTTCTGTAAAACCACTTTCAGGGGTTTGTTTTTTCTTCTACACTCAAGCGGCCTATAAATTCTGTGAAATAAAATAAAATATGCTCTCCAGTGCCGTAGCTTAGGGGTAAGAGCATCTGCTTGCCTGGCCCCTCCAGCATCTCCAGATAGCATGTCCCCTAGCCTAGTTCCCATGCCCAGCTGTACCTATTCTTCTCATTTTATTTATGCCCTACCTTTCCTCCAAGGAGCTCAAGGTGGCATACATAGTTCTCTCCTATTCTCCACACAAGAACCCTGTGAGGTAAGTTAGAGTGAGTGAATGGCCCAAGGTTACCCAGTGAGCTTCATGAGGATTCCAGCACTCTAACCACTACACCACACTGTCTCATTTACCCTCCAAATGTTTTGACCAACTGTGCTGGCTTGAACCTTTGAGCGTAGATGTGCAAAAATTTTGTCCCCTTTATCACATACACAGCCCAACAAGACAATGACAAAAATCCACCAACAGCATACAAATCAATATGGCTAACCTGATTCAAAAACACCCACCCACCCCACTCACATATGAAAACAAAGATCACCACAGCCAATCACAAACAAAGAACCACACCCTAAGCCAACCCCAACCTCTCTCACCACCAAAGGAACACAAGTGAACAGCAGAGAACCTGCACAAGCGACGCTGACACAAAACCCCACATATATTAGATATAATAGAAACATCACCACCTGACACCACCCCCACTCACCTTTCCCCCCCTTCACCTTTTCTTCCTAATGTCTCAACAAAGGGAACTGATCTGAAAAAATGTTACTGGGGGGGGGGGGGGAGAGAGACATTGCACATACTTTTGTAAACCAAGAAAATCTTTAATAAAATTACATTTTTTAAAAAAAACAGGGATGTCCAACCAGTAGATTGTGATCTACTGGTAGATCCCTGGCTGATCTTGGTAGATCGCGGGATCCTTATTGTGTACAAAAAGTTGCGGGGGAGAAGCTAAAAAACTCTGTGCAATCCACCCACCCCATGCACACTCCTCCTCTCTCCAATGACAATGGGTAGATCACTGCCAGTTTTTTTATACTGGGAGTAAATTGCAGTCTCTTGGGAGCTGGACATGTCCAAGAGTTATGGGAGTTATGCTTTACCAAAAATATATATATTTTCCAGCAGAAAGTATTGGAATATTCCATATTAAAAAAGAAAAATAGCCCCACCATTAAAAATATGGAACTGTGTTATTACAGAGTGAGTACATTCTGTTCAACAGTTTTTTAGCATCTCAAAACACATGCACAGTTCACATTATAAACACTTTGTAAACTCAGTGTTTAGAACCCATTCCATATGCCACTTAATCCAGAGAATCTTTCTAGAATGACACCTGAGAAAGAAGCAGGTGGCTCTTAGTTACTTTGATCAGGTGCTCTGGCTGCTTTACGTGCTTAATGGAGAAAGAAGCATTAATCCTCCTAAATCTAATTAGGGTTTCTCTGAGAAGAAACTGAATACTGAAAAGGCAATGTATTATTTTTTGAGGGGCTGTGACATGTTGCAAAGGAGCTTGAAATCAATTCCATTCATTTTTCTATAAAAAGGGCCCTCTTGAGGGTTGAGATGCAACTAAATGAACAAAAAAGTGTAAGTTTGCTCTTGTCTGTGCTATGGCTTTGCATGCTTGGGGAAATGTTGCAAATTGGAATTGCTTCCAGATTCTGACGGTCCACGGCATAAAACTCACAAGCCACTTCACTCCCTCTGCATCATATCTCTTCAGATCTTAAGGTGCAAGGGTGATAATGTGCTCACTTGACTTTCAAAGGTAATGTGGCCGCAGTTACTAATTCTGTGCTTTCATTTCCATAGCAGGCTAGAGGTCGTTGAGAAAATGGGATATGATATTGATCGCTTCGTAGGTTACGTGAATGAAGGTCTCCTGTGCTGCATCTGCCGAGATGTGTTGGAAGATCCCTTGCAGGCTCCTTGTGAACATGCTTTCTGCACTTCCTGCATACATGGGTGGCTTGTTCATCACAGCAACTGCCCAGAAGATCGTCAGCCGCTTGATCTGTCTGTCCTTCGACCACTTTACAGGTGCGTAATTATTTCTGAGTCCAATTCGCCGCTATCATGAAATCTAATCCTACACTAGTGGATTGAGCAAATGTGCAAATGTAAGGCTGAGGGATGGAGCATCCTGTTTGATTGGTTTTCCTTACTAAAGTTACTACCCCATATGTCATGCAAATTAATGAAATTGACTAGGCTAAGTAAGCCTAGATTTGGTCAATTTCACTCTGAAGAGAAAATGTTCCTACAAGGAAAGCGATGTACAGTGGTACCTCCAGTTGTGCACAGGATCCATTCTGGAGCTCTGGTCGGAACCTGAGGAATTCACAACCAGAGGTGCCTGTTCTGCGCACGGCGCAGTAGAGCGCTTCTGCGCATGCGCGCGCAGCAAAACTCAGAAAAATGCTTCTGGGTTTACTGCGTTTGTGTCCAGAAGGATACGCAACCAGAGATGTGCATATCCAGAGGTACCACTGTATAAGAAAAGAGTGAGGCAGCAAGATGTGCTGCAGACACATTAACTCCTTGGGGGTTCACTGTGTAGCCTTTTCCAAATTGGAATAAAGAGAGAACTCCTTTTATAGAAATACAGGATAGACAAGAATGTTCTGTCCCACAGGATCCAGTGCCAAGTTCCAGTTATCAAAAATATCTCTATATTGTCCTCTTCTCGTACGTGGAAATAATCCTATTACATAGGTCCAGAGTAAGTAGCAAAGTCCAGATTGCTTGCATCACAAAGTTTCGGCTTGATCTGAATTCACACCTCTGATTGCACCCCTTTTAACCTTGCTGCTTTGCACAAAAGAAACACACACACACACACAATTTCTGCTAGGACAGAAATGTGCAGTTGCTAGGAAAATTCTTTGCTTGACCAATCTCCTTTTCTCAAGGTTGGAGCAAATAATAATAATAATAATAATAATAATAATAATTTATTATTTATACCCCGCCCATCTGGCTGGGTTTCCCAGCCACTCTGGTCGGCTTCCAACAAAACACTAAAATACAATAACCTATTAAACATTAAAAGCTTCTCCAAACAGGGCTGCCTTCAGATGTCTTCTAAAAGTTTGGTAGTTATTTTTCTCTTTGACATCTGGTGGGAGGGCATTCCACAGGACGGGTGCCACTACCGAGAAGGCCCTCTGCCTGGTTCCCTGTAGCTTGGCTTCTCGTAGCGAGGGAACCGCCAGAAGGCCCTCGGTGCTGGACCTCAGTGTCCGGGCAGAACGATGGAGGTGGAGACGCTCCTTCAGGTATACTGGACCGAGGCCGTTTAGGGCTTTAAAGTTCAGCACCAACACTTTGAACTGCTTAAAGCTTCATTAACCTACTAACAGCTAAGGTTTTAAAAACACAACTTTTGAAAAACAAAAGGATATGAGAGCATAAGTGGTAATACCCACGATACATGTTTTTAAAGTATTGTATGTAATAAAGAATGAACACTCTTAAACATAATGTTTAAGAATCTTAAACATAAATGTCACAAACAAGTGTTGACTTACTCTGTTGCCAAATAACACAAGTTGGCCATGGTGCTTCTACTTCATTAGGGTTGCCAACTTTCTGAAAATGTGCATTTTAATTGTGTCAGGGGGGTGTTGCCTTCCAGGGGCAACATTCCAGTGGTGAGCAGGGCCAGTGGGGGGGGGTATAGCAGGGAAGAAATCCTGACAGCCAGGTAGGTCTGAAGAGTCACATTTGGTGATCAGACCTGTGATTTCCCACCCCTGCCTTAAAGCAATGGCTGATCATAGTCTTAAGTTTTGAGGAAAGGATGTTATGGTTAATGGCTCACAGTGGCCAGGGGATGTCTTTCTATGGGATCTAATTGTTAGAAGATGGCTTCTTGATACAGATATTTCTCCAGAACGTTAGGAGTAAGGAGGGTGACACCACAGCCAAGCTGAAGTGGGTGGCCGGTGTAATGTATGGAAGTTAGTGCAGCAGTTTTAGGGGATAGACAGGCAGAAGGTAGAGTGTGGAAGCTCTTAACATCAAGGCTAGAAATGCCTTGTGGTGCAAGTTGCCTTTCTGGGGATCTGCTGTTTACCTTCGCCTGTGCTCTGCCTGTATACTTGCAATTAAACCAAATATTACACAGTCATGGTTGGTCTGCCATGTGGCCTCATTCAAAGAAAACTGAATCAGTTAGCACTGACTCTGGAATGTCTTACCACTCGGAGAACTGGGGAGCATATGTTATATCTTAGCAAGCAGTATTGCAAGAATAAAAATAATTAACTTCTGTACCCAGATACATGAAGAACGATCTCAATCAACTCCAGATTCACTGCAGGAACAGAGAGTGTGGCTGTGAAATGGTGTGTTCACTGGAATCCATTGACCGACATGAACGCGAGTGTGAATGCAGCCGGGTCCCCTGTTCAAATAGCGGTAGGTAGAATGCAGAGATGGTTATCTTGCAAACAGATGGTAGATCTCCGTTTTCACCTGAATTCAGTCCCCCAGTTCTGGAATGTAGGCTAAAGGGAATTCAGAGTTAGTGGCTATTGCAGAGTGGGCCTTCTCGGTTTCTTTGCCTGTGGGAACACCCCTTCCTGTTCTATTTCTACCTGTTGCCAACACTAGCCAAAGCAAAGTATGGATTCAGTGTTGGTGTTTGGGGAACTGAAAGGCAGCTGATGTGCCAGTGACCCCTTGGAGAATCCTTGTACCTGCGCACAGTAGGAAACACTAACCTAGATTCCTCAAGAGTGGTGGTGCTGCTGTTGTTAGCATCCTTCTGTCTTGAGAGACAATGGAGTGCACCTCTAGGGGTAAGTCAAACTGCTGGAGAATCACAGGGGCTGCAGAAACCACTAGCTTGTCACTGCTGCCTTCCACATTGTTTTTGCTGCATTAGCAGCACTGAAGTGACCTCTCTGGAGCACAGTCTATCGTTGTCTCCATGTCAGAAGATTATGGGGGAAATGAAATAATTCTCTCTCTCTCTGGTGCACTTCCTCCAGTCTTCTGCTTTCCAATCAGGTTGCCCAGCTCGGGTTGAAAGACGTAACCTAGACAGCCACTTGGCAGTGTGCGAATACAGGAGCCGCGAGTGCCCCAAAGGCTGTGGGTATGCCATCCTCAGCGCTGATGATGCGCAACATAACTGTGTGGCAGAGCTGAGAACGGAACTAGAACTGCTCAGGTAAAGCTATTCTTCCCCTTACCTTGGCTGCTCATGGATTGACTTGGCCCTCCAGATGTTTGGGGACTACAACTCCCATCATCCCTGACCACTGGTCCTGTTAGCTAGGGATGATGGGAGTTGTGGTCCCAAAACATCTGGAGGGCCAAGTGTGGCCATGCCTAAAGCATGAACTGACACTTAAACATTTTGCCCATCTCTCTAAAACATACACAAGGGGACTGTTCTTCAATATTGCTGCAATTTCCTGGGTGCTCAGGAAACCAATTTGGTAACTTGGCAAATTGCTTCTATTGCCATCACCATCTCTTCCTCCTATCTTCCCACCCGAGTTACACCTGGTATTCTATCATCCTGATTCGATTGAAATAAAAGATTTGTTGACATCTTTTTTGTGTAACATAAGCTTGTGCGCTGCTTGGTGGTAACCTGAAAATCTAAGTTAATCATAAATGAAAAGCTTCTTTGCCAGTACTAGCTTATGGGAAATGCCCCTGTGAGTGAAGCTGGGGCTGTTAAAATGAGGTGTTTATCTTGGGCCGAAGGAAGACGCAGATATTGCATAAAACAGATGGAAGATTAAAAAAACCAGCTCTTGTTTGTTACGAGAATAATTAGTGCAAAACTGATGGATTAAACACTACTTCCTGTTTTGGTAATTAGTGGCCCTGTTCACATATAATGGTAAGTCCTGATCTAAAACAAACCATCTCTTTTTGTGAATGATCAATTTCCTGGGGCCCACGGTTCAGCTGCACCAGCTGCCCTCCTCCCAAGCGGAAACAAATCAGCGTATTAACTTAGCTTACATATGAACAGGTGCATGTTGTTTGTTTCAGTCCAAGCAATCCTTTTCAAAATTAAAGCAGGATGAACAGTAAGATAAGACAATGGCGGGAGGGATTGCCACAGTCTTTTTCCCCAGACACATTCGCCCCCCTTTAAAAATAATAATTGCCAAGCGCATAAAACTGAATGTGCGTACGTTTCAAGTTTCCTCTGTATTCAGATTAAAGACAGATAGGCTGATTAACAAAATGTGTTTTGTTTTTTAAGGTCAGAGATGATCTGCCGGATGGAAGAGGCAAAACATGAGATGGAATCTCGACTAGATTCTCAAAGGAAGCATATGGTGCAAAAGGAGAGTCTTTTGCAAAATCAGATTGAAGAGCTAAAGGTTAACGTATTGTATTGCCATTAGCTACGAGGTCATCTCCCTCCCTTAAAATGTTGCCTCTGGTGAACTAGTATTTCTGACAGCTTTATTCTATGCTGTACTCTTTTTCAGTTTCCAGAAGGTAGCCACAGTCCTCAAGCACCTGACAGCTACCTTCCCCAACCTTGTGATGTCCAGGTGATTTGGACTACAATTCCCATCATCACTCACTGGCCAAGCCAGGTGGGACTGATGGGAGTTGAAGTCCAACAACAGCTGGGGAGCATCAAATTGGGGAAGTCTCACCTACAGCATCTATTTTAGAACCAATGGTTTTAGCAGCAGGTATTTTAACTACAATTCACATAAGCAAGGAAGCATTGCTATTGGTGACTGGCAAACCTCCAGTCCCATTAATATTATATTAATTTGGAGATGGACCATTAATAAAAATCAGACTACTTCCAAGTTGGCCTAGAAGAGCTTTCCCTATCACACATCCCCCACCTGCCGAGTTCTCTTTCCCCAAATTTACTGGGATAACAGGGAGAGCACAATCATTGAAATAGCCCTCAGAATGCCCATGCACATTTTGCTTTACCCTAAACTCTGGGTACAGAAGCATTTGGGTCTGGGCCCAAGTCATTCCAGGACAATGCAGCCTCTTTCCCTTGCCTTGGAGAGTGGGCAGAAACAGATCTGTTTTGCAGCAGTCTGGATACCTGAAAGGGGCAGATCCATGAAATCTAGGCTCTGTTATCTGTATGCTACCCTCAGGTCCTTGGAGGAAGGGGAAGAAACAAATGTAATACAGTGGTACTTCGGGTTACATACACTTCAGGTTACATATGCTTCAGGTTACACACTCCGCTAACCCAGAAATAGTGCTTCAGGTTAAGAACTCTGCTTCAGGATAAGAACAGAAATCATGCTCTGGCAGTGCAGCGGCAGCAGGAGGCCCCATTAGCTAAAGTGGTGCTTCAGGTTAAGAACAGTTTCAGGTTAAGAACGGACCTCCGGAACGAATTAAGTACTTAACCTGAGGTACTACTGTAGATAGGAAATGGCGAGCATCTAACAGTTAACAGGCAGTCCCAATGCAACACTTGAAAAACTCTCTTACGCTTTTCAGAGCCAGATGTCCAGGATGTCGTCTGACATACGTACCCTGCTGGCAACAGAGAGGCAGCATCACCAAGAACTGGAGCAGGCACAGCTTGAAAAGCTAGAATTACTGGAGTTAGTGAAGACTCTCCAGGAAGACTGTTGGTTGACTAGGGATGGAAGCAAGAAAGCAACACATGTTCGACCTCTGACCCGACTGGAAAGCATGAAGTGAAAGCCATAGGTGGCTGTTATTTAAGACTGGATTACTGCAGTCTGGTTTATGTGGTGTTTCCTTTTGCTGGATCTGGCAACTGACCATGAGTGCAGAATGCTGCAGTCCACCTGCTGACAGCAATGAGATTCTGTCAGCAGATATCACCTGCTCAGAGATCTGCACCGATTGCAGGTTTGTTACCGGACCAACTTCAAGCTGTATATAAAGCCCTTAACAGTTAGAAACAGTTTACTTCAGGAATTGCCTTACCCCGTATATTTCTATTTAGTCAATTCAGTCTGCAGCACTGGCGCTATTACAGGTGCACCACACTTGTAAAAAATAGATCTTTTTGCATGGCAGCACCCACACTTGGAACTCCATGCCTATTGACATCAGGCAGGCACCTTCACTGCACTTTTTCCAGTGTCTGCTAAAACATTTTTGTTCAGGCAAGTTTTTCCAGACATGAAGTTAACATTTTGGTCTGTTTTTAGCTTAGCTGTTTATTTCAATTATTTTTGAGTTATTAAATTCCTGTCTTATGGTTTTATTATTTTTTAGTTTTACTCTTAGGAATAATAATAATAATAATAATAATAATAATAAGGTATGAAGGCAGGGAGAGAACAAAGTTCTGTGTACTCGGGAGAAGAAACAAAAAAGCAAATAGAAAAATGAAGGAATCTAATGAAACTTGGCTTAAGCCAGGAGAGCCAAGGAGGAACATACTGCTGCATCAGGCAGGAAAAAAACCTGAGGGAAATGGACCAACTTCCCACAAACCTTTGCTCCTGCTTGTGTCAGCTGACAAGAGATGGCCCATACCATTGGCTATGGTATCCTATGAAATGAATTGACCTAATAAAACTAATATAACATGTGCGTGTTGTGTGTGGGTGTATGTATATATAGAAATGAAAGCTTATAGATTATGTATTCTTGAAGTTAAGGACTCAGATATTTGGTAAGAGTGCACACTATACGCAGAGATGGAAAATACATGCAAAGGAAAACAACTGCTACTCAGGCAGCTACATGCATGGCTCCACTATTAAACCTTTTCATAGAAGCAAGTAGAAGTCACAGGTGACTTCTCCATCTTGAGTGACTGTTGATTTTAATCATTTTTGAATGAATGCTTTTAAATACCTGTTTTAAAAAATTGTTTTACTTTATATTTTTGTCAACAGCTTAGAGGTGGTTGTTTTACGATCAAGTGGGTTATAAACTGTTAAATAAAACATTGTTGCCTTGGAATGGCTGGTGCTACTTACCCCAAATGAAGGCTATGTTGCAAGACTGTTAAAACCAAATCTAAACTTGTACTTCTGGCGTAAGTGCCATAAAAGCATAGGCAACTATAAAGACACGCACGCTAACACAAAAAACAGTTTTATTGAAATCTCAGATCTTGTATCAAACAAAATGGGATATTTTTTTTTTCAAACAAAAAAAAAGTCTCTTTTCTGCCCCCCGATACCAGTAAGTCTAGCGTTGGTCCTCAAGTTCTCAAGCAATTTGCCATCATCTTGAAAGGTTCACAGTCAGAATGTTCTCAATGGTGTGTTTATCGAGTAAAAGAGCGGACGTGACGCCCTCTTCCGCTGCCTCCGCCAACAAACTTTCCTCTTGAGCCACCACTACTGCCGCTATTTGTGCTTGCCCAAGATGGCCCAATTCCACCACGGCCTCTGGAAGCACGATCACGAGGACTTGGCCGGTAGCCTTAAAAAAGAGAGAGAGATAACTAGTAACAGTACAGTGATGATTCCTACTGGGATATAAATAAGGGCCAAATTATGCATTGCAACTATACTGAGGCCTCTAAAAACAGCCTCCAACCTATGATATTAATACAGAACAACTCAATATACATTTAACCAGCACTGTATAGAAATCTGTGCCATCATAATGGCCAGGTTTTTTGCCTACTATACAACAGACACCGAGGCAAACTTATTAATGCTAGAATTCTAAGCACACCTAGTTTCATTTAAGCTTCACTAATTAAGGCTTACTACTGAGCAAGCCCCATTATGGTGGGATGACCATCTGTCATGGACACTTTAGCTGAAATTCCTGCATAGATGACCCTCAGGTTCCCTTCCATCTCTGATTCTACAGTGGTGCCCCGCAAGACGAACACCTCGCAAGACAGAAAACCCGCTAGACGAAAGGGTTTTCCGTTTTGGAGGCGCTTCGCAAAACGAATTTCCCTATGGGCTTGCTTCGCAAGACGACAGCCCATAGGGAAATCTCCGGGACAGCGGGGAAGCGCAGCGCGTCTTCCCCACTGTCCTCGGACCTCCTCCGAAGCCTGGCGGCGGGGCGGGGACACCCCCTCCCGCCGCCCGGCTTCGGAACGATGCTCCGGGCGGCGGGGCGGGAACACCTCCCCCCGCCGCCCGGCTTCGCAACGATGCTCCGAAGCCGGGCGGCGGGGAGGGAACACCTCCCCCCTGCCGCCGGGCTTCGCAACGATGCTCCGAAGCCGGGCGGTGGGGAGGGAACACCTCCTCCCGCCGCCGGGCTTCGGAACGATCTCAGCGGAATGATCTCAGCGCGCGCAGGCTTCGGCATGCTGGCAACTCTCCACAAGCAGCGGGAGCGCTCCCGCTGCTTGCAGAGAGGTCCGCGAAGCCTGTCCAGGACAGCTTTTGAAGGCAGGGGGGGGAGCAAAGACTTTCGCCCCCCGCCCGCCTTCAGAAGAGGTCCTGGACCTCTTCTGAAGGCTGGCGGGGGGCAAAAGTCTTTGTCCCCCTTGCCTGCCTTCCCAGGGGCTTTTAAATCGCCCCGGACAGCGGAGAAGTCCTCCGCTGTCCCAGGGTTTTTTAAAATGCTGGGGGTGGGAAAAGCCCTTGTCCCCCCCCAGCCTTCAGAAGAGGTTGGGGACAGACTGTCCCCGGACCTGGTCTGAAGGCGGTTTCCATAGGAACGCATTAATTGATTTTCAATGCATTCCTATGGGAAACCGTGCATCGCAAGACGAAAAACTCGCAAGACGAAGAGACTTACGGAACGAATTAATTTCGTCTTGCGAGGCACCACTGTATTATAAAATCAGGCTGGAAATATGTGATATATTTAATCTTGCTAAGATTGCAGATCATAGATCAAAATGAACAGCACAACCTTTTGGTATTCTTCATCATACATGTACACTTACTTACAATGCAATAGTTTCAACCATCGGCAAGTAAAACATGAAAATTATCCCCAGTGAATCAACCCCAGAATCAAAAGCTCATCCAAAGGAGATCAGGTCATTAGCTCATGAAGGGACATCAGCAGCCTGAAACTCTCCCCCCCCCACCCCCAAAATCTATATTTTGAACTGTTTATTTTGCTTTCAGTTGTAATCCATGTTTGGCAAACAAAGTATATAAATGCAATAAAGCAGGAACAGGGAACCTGTGGCCCTCTAAATATTGCTACAACTCCCATCATTGTTGACCAACTTTTTAAAGTGACATTTTTGTCTGAGGATCCAGTCTCTTTTGAGTTTGCATTTAGCTATTTTTTTATTTTTGACTTAATTTTTAAGGTGTCTTTTGGTGCCTTATATAAAACAGAAAGGAAGGAAATAAGTGCCATAAATCAAAACTGAAGAAAAATACCACTGGTTGAACTGATTGTGCATATAATTTCAAGGAAGTATTGTGAGGGGAGGGAAACCACAAACCTGCTGAACTTAACGGCCTTAGAGGTGGAAGTGGGCCCCTGTTGAAGTTGCTTTGGCCGCCTCTGCTTTCATTGTAGGTGCCTCGCGGAGAACTCTGTGCACTCCAGCTTGATCCTCTAGCTCCTTCACGGCGACTGTAATTTCCTAAATGAAAAAGCACAACAACTAAACCATTTGTGAATTGGCTTTGTTTCTAAATATTCAACCCCACAATCTGAGTTGAAAGGCTTCATGCATGCTGGATGGAAGGTAGCACCTAGCTTGGCCAGGCAGCCAGATTACGGGACGCTAATTTGGGAGGCCCAAGTTCTAAATTTATCATGGACACACTGAGCAGTCTTGAACAAGCCATTCCTTCTACCTCTCAATTCCCCATCTGTGAAATGGGGACAGCAACAGGTCTGTTTGGAGAATCAAAGAACGTCAAACTTTTTTTTACATCTCAGTTTGTAGGGGGCTGCGGCTAGAAGGCCAAAAGCCTGAGATTGCATCCTTTGTGGACAAAGTTTACTGCAAAGATAGCTCAGCTGGGTGGATGGTGCTGCTAACACCAAGGTTGCAGGTTCAATCCCTGTAAAGGACAGCTGCATATTCCTGTATTGCAAGGGGTTGGACTAGATGATCCTCAAGATCCCTTCCAACTCTATAATTCCATGACTTTAACCCCCCAAAAGATAGCTGCAATGGTGAATAGTAGCAGAAGTGCTACAACTAACTTCGCTTTATGGAACACGCTGAATGAATGGAACCTCAAATCTGTCGTCCAGAAGGCATAAAGCTCACATATTTCAGGCGGACCAGAAAACCTACCTTTTGAAGCAGGTGGCGTGAAGAATCTATTTGGGCTGTGAAAGGCTCCTCGCCCTCCTCGATTCCCTGAGAACCCGCCCCGTGAAGAAATCTTCTGTGAAACTTTAGGCAGTCTCTTGGGAGGCTGTATCCCATCTGGTGGAACCACTTCCTTGCTCTCGGCAGCCACAAAGTCGTCAACGTGCATAGAGGGCGGCCTGCTTGTGTTCTGCTTCCTCTGACGGAAGATATCGTGGGGCCGAATGCCTTGGCCAAATGCTCCCCTGCCTCTTCCTCTCGGAGGAGGCACAATATGGGCCCTCTTGGCAGGTTCGATGTATTCAGACTTCCCACTGTTAAGGCCCAGAAGTTTCGCATGGTAAATTCATGAACAAGAGGTATTTTGTTTAGCAGGACACAGGTATTAACGTATACAGGAGAATGTGAACCTTTTCCAATACTTCACAAGCTAGAAAAACCATACGGACGTGCCGTTTGCAAATAGGTCTCTTTCTCCTATCCTTTCTAAGCCCTTATCCTGTCTCTCAATATTCATCTGCATTAGTGTTGGTTGTTCAGTCAAATTAATTAGTGGCAATTAATCCAAACGGCATGGTGGTTGCTGGAGCTTGAACCAATGATAGGCACAGACAAAAACGTTCTGGATTAAATAATTTGGATTAAAGACATCCCCGCTTCAATTTTCTATTTTTGAATTTTCAGATTCGAGGTAGCCAGATTAGATTTGACAGAGTTACTCTCATATTAGTATACAGTGGATGTTTTTAGTACAGCATGACTCTTCTGGAAATTAAAAGTAATTCCTTTGTGAATAACCTCCCTTTCTGATCTGGTTCACACGTAAGGCTAAGCCGAACTATGGCTTAGTGCAGGTATCTTCAACCTTTTCAAACCCAGGACACATTTTGCACCCAAACATGCACTTGGGGACACATTTCTTAATTATTCACCATATTTATCTGCATGGTGGCAATGCACCTGTTGCAATCCACCTTGGAACAGGTCATGTGACCTACTAGTAAGTTCTGACCCACCAGCTGAAGACCAGTGGCTTAGTGCAATCGCACAAGTGTCAGACCTGAGAAAGAAAAGATCACAGCCAATATGCACCTCCCCTTGCCCTGCTGCAAGCAAAGCCATGGTTGGGCTATTTTCTTCTCCAAACCCAGGTTTGTGGTTTGTCTGGAGCTAGACAAACCAAGAAACCGGGTTCAGACAACATGCTGAGCCAAATCACATCACAGCAGCAGAAAGAAGAGGACCTCAGAGGCCATAACCTCCTCTCTGGAAAACCAACATTAAGCTAAGGTATAGTTTGGCATAGTGTTCCATGCTAACCCACTCTCTCCCATATACATATACGACAGAAGCCTAACAGTTTATTCTCAGGCAGTTGGGAGGGAAACTATTCTTTTCCCCAAGGCATACCAACCATGAAAGAAGTCAAAAACAATTTTTTATCAGATACAATTCTGCCCCTTCCAATTGCTCTGAAACTACACAGGAATGAGGATAGACCACTTAAAAATCCATGGGTAAAAAGGACAAAATGAAAGGAAGTAACTGTGATGGGACGGGGAAAGGGGGCAATTTCAAGAGGTTCAAGGACGCCATGTGGCACCTGAGCTGAAGGTTGCCCATTTGTGACTTAAGAATTTAGTTTTAATGCCCTCATCCCTTGGCTCCAGGAGTTAAGTTACTTAAGTCTCTTTGTAGGATGAAGGCAGGCTTCTGAGAAGAAGAGATCCCTTCCTTTATGTGTACC